ACCTCGTGCCCATAGGTTAATACAGTGTCCAACCTTCACCTGCTGCTATAACTTCATGAAATCTGGTGGGCATGGAATCTACCAGATTGCTGCAGATGTTCAGCCTCCTCCTTATTCCCTCCCACACATATGTGCGTGTCTCCTCACTGTCTCCCTCGTTTTCACCTCAACATCCCATTCAACAACAATATGCGCCCATAGATTTTCTATTGGATTACAGTCGGCTCCTTTAGGCATGAAGTTATAGCAGCAGATGGAGGTTGGACACTATTAACCTATGGGCACGAGGTGTCTCGGGATCCTGTGGTCAAGAATTAAATCTCCGCCCACGACGATGCCTTGTAGGGGGTGGCGGGGGAGTTAGCTCTCTGGTGTAACCTCGTTGGGGCCACATAGACTTCGTTTCCTAACTCTCGGGAATTTGTCCAGTATTTTACTTTGTGGTTTTACGTCACTTCACATAAATATGCTTACAAAACCTATGCATTAATATGCATAACTCTTGGGAATCTGTCCAGACATTAAATATATGTTATATACTACAATAATCACAGATATGTTTACAATGTTTATGCATAACAAATGTGAAAAATATTTTGGGGGTTTCAATTCACGAAAAGTCATGCCTACAAAACAATCTTGATGCTCTAAGTGCATGTATGTGTTAAGTAATGAACAACTGATCCACATTATTTTGGTAAATGAAGAAATGAAAAGCAAGCACTTAGCCATATGGATATAGTTATACGGAAGAAGGGAAATAAGGATGAACCACGGTTTTGATGGAAACAATGTGCTCTGGGACGATGCTCACAATGACGAATGGGAGAAACCTCTATGAAACATCTTGCCTACTAAGGATGAAGCTTAATGTAACAGAACACACACACACACACACACAGTGTAACTTTGTGTGATGCGTTGTCTGACTTGGGGTGGCTTTGAGCAAACCATACACTTGATATTACAATTTATGTATCCTTCCTGTCCATGATTTACAACAATAACTGAAGGGCAAAAGTTACAATATTATACTAATAACACTGTCCTGTATTGATACTATGACTAGTTACCATACAGAGCACGATGAACATAACTGTTAATGATAGTGAAGCCTGGAAGGGTTCATATCATAACTTGTGTGTTCGTGCGTATGTTGCCCTGTGAGAGTTACCGTGGGCCTCCATGTGCCCAGGTGGGATGGTCAAAGTATTACACTATAAGTGTGTCAAATGAGGAATGACTGATCCACATGTAAATTAAGGGTTTTGTAATATGTAGTTAAATTAAACACGCTTTTTCATATAGTTATGCGAATGAAGGGAAAATAAAAGATATACTAGATGGGGTGTTGTGGAAGCATCGTGGTCTGGCACGCACGCACGCACGCACACACACACACATGCGCACGCACACATGCACGCACACACGCGCACACACACACGCGCACACACACGCGCGCACACACACACGCGCGCGCGCACACACGCACACACGCGCACACACACACACGCTGTAAACGATGTGTGGATTCACTGGGTGGTTTGGAAGTGTTTATTTCCATTCATAATTTCGTAACTACAACCTATGGTAATTTTTCTTCGTGATCATATATAATGAAGAAAATGCAGAGTATAAAATGCCATATACAATACTTATACATAATGTCATCTATACGGCCGTACTATGACTGTGTTTGAGCGTGTGTTGCCTCGTGGTAGTTAGAGTGGGCCTCCGTCCAGAAAGGACACTGTACTCACCTCCAGCACCGACCCAGGTGGGCTAGAGATTATGATTTCCGACTGTACATGTACTAAATGGTTACGGTACTAAATTTTTTATGTCTAGTGCAAATTATAGCTTGTTTATATTCAAATTAATCACTATCTCACAGGAATCCCAGCAATGTAAATTATATTCTCCCCGCTCATTTCAGTGACATTTTACAATAGAAAAGCTTAGTCACTCTTAAGGACTGATAAATAAACACACAGACCTTCGGCACCAACTGTCAAACATATCACCTCACCTCCCGCTCCTCCTCCACCCCACGATCGCTCCCTCCCTCTCCCCAGCCAGGGTTTTAGGCTTACAGTTTTTATCTTATATAGTATCACAGACTAAAGTTAGGAGAATATAATTTGCATTGATGGAATCCTTGCAAGACAGTGAATAATTTGAATATAACGTCATATTTTGCACAAGAGATAAAAATTAATCACCTGTATCACATTACAGTAGTGATTTAAAGAGTTCTTTATATGTACGTATATATATACAGGTTGACAACCCTTTATCCGAAATTCCGAAAACCGAAAGTTTTTTGTGGGGCAATTTTTTTTTTTTTTTTTTAAACGGGGATTAGCCTACCTGGGCATAGATCACTGACCCACATCGGGGCCTGGGGGGCGAAAATGTAATAGTAATAATAATTGTAATAGTAATAATAATTATAATAATAATAATTATAATAATAATAATAATAATAATAATAATAATAATAATTATTATAATAATAATAATAATAATTATAGTAAATAAAAAATACACCAAAATAAAATAATAATGATAACAATAATAAAATATAATAAAATTAATAATAATAATAATAATAATACTGTAATAATAAAATAATAATAAAGAAATACAAGATTAAAAAAAAGATCAAAAGTGAGAAACGCGACCTGGACCTATGAATTATTATTACAGGTTGTACCTCTCTAGTCCGGCATTCTGTGGTCCGGAACGATTTTAGTTTGTCCAATAGGCAGGTTTTTTTTTTTTTTTATACTTATCTGAATTATTATTATTATAGGAGTATTACATTTTCGCCCCTCAGGGTCCAATGTGGGTTAGTGACCTGTGCCCGGGTGGGCTAATTCCCGTAAAAAAACAAAAGACAACAAAGCCGCGGGAAATTAAGGTTTGTTTACATCCGGCAGTTTGGCTCTCTCTCTCTCTATGTTTGTTATACTCTATACAGTACAGAGGACAACATTTAACCCTTCAATATACGGTATATGAACAGTAAATAAGTGTTGCTTTCATATTCTTATGTAGAGTAATGACAATATGTTTTTACATGTGCTCACTTACATACGTGCAGTTTCACTTTTTTCTTTAACATTAATGGTTAGTTACTTATATTGTTCCATTTATTAACATTAAATAACATTACTTCAAAAAATCATATTAATTTTTACATTAATTTTACTACAGCTACAACCAGGGTCTTATTTTCTTGTTTTATATGTAGAACCACTCAGTCACTGGTTTTGTAATCAAAGAAAACAATGCCGCCTCATTTCCTCGTGTGTTTTAATATTCTACATATTATTAATGAATTGTATTGCTCATTTTGCACACAAACATTAATTAAAAAAAAAAGACATTCAGTAATAAACAATAATGAATCTTTTGTACACAAGAGAAATGACGCTGTTTACAAGATTGAGCACGTCGTCTGAACGTTGGCGAGCCGTTCAAACCCGTCGAAATTCGAGTTTCCGACATCAAAATTTTAAATTATGTAGTGTTTTTTTTTGTGTCCAAATAAAAAACGTTGAATTAAAAATTCGCGAAATTTGAGAAGCTACTGTACGACATTTAACCCTTCAATATGTCTTCAAAGTGACCACGAAGCAGTGAAAGTGGTGCTAACGTCAGCGCAAGTCACTATCTGTCCAGGAAAAGGGAGAATTTCCATGGTCCGGCACCGGTCAGGTCCCGAGGTTGCCGGACTAGAGGTACAACCTGTATTATTATTATTATTATTATTATTATTATAATTATTATTATTATAATTTTTGTTATATTTTCACCCCCTAGGCCCCAATGTGGGTTAGTGACTTGTGCCCAGGTGGGCAAAAAAAAAAAAAAAAAATTCAGAAATCCGAAAAATTCAGAAATCCGAAATGCCTCTGGCCCCAAGGATTTCTTTTAAGGAATTGTCAACCTGTATAGTGATTTAAGGGTGATTTAGGGGAATTTTAGGAGGGTTTTAGACTTAATGCATTTTTGGCATTACTTTGTATGTACTTTTCTGTGAGCTGGAACCAATTACCCAATATCCCATTGAAATAATGGATTCGGTTAAAGAAATTTTTGGTTAACAAACAACTGTGGATCGATTTGTGTTCGTTAACCGAGGGACCACAGTACTGTATTTTCAATTGCAGAATTAATATCCTAATAATTTCATGAACATATAAAATTAATCTTCTGAAAAATTAATGCATTTACAGGTAATTGTAATTTTTGTATAACCCATTGTAGGGCTGTTGCTCCATTCGGCATTTTATTCTGGCCAACACCAGAATATTTTATTCAGCGGAGAGAAACCATTGCCCAATAAAAGGTTGAGTAAAGAGGTCAAACTATTCTAATTGGGTTTATGAATCACATGAAGATAAACCCACTAGTTAACTTAAGCTTTAGAGAAACAGCCTAACACGAACCTAACCCCCAGGTAGCAGTATGCAAAACAATGCAAGTGGACTAATCCTGTAATCCTTGTTTTTGTTCTCAGAAATTGTTCAACTTTTTCAAGAAGAAGAATTTCAAATCATGTGGATCATCAAGGTTACAATGTTAATCAGACACATCAACCAAACTAAGGTTTTCAAACCGGTTTCAAAATGTACACAGGAAACATTTCACATTTTATAAATAAACTACATAATTAATAAAAAATTTAATTGCTGCAAACACCTTGTGAATGACCCAGGTTAACTTCTGTAGTAGTCCACTAACTACAGATTATTAGCTATCGGTAGCTCACATGCATAGAAATTCAGTAGTAAAAAAAAATAGTTTTATTACCTTTCAGTGCATAGTAGGATACAGTATATATATGTACTATTCTGAAAAAGAATAAGAAAAGCTGTGGGGGTAGCAAGAAGCGATGTGAAGTCTGGCATGAATATAAAGTTAAACTCCTCGAGACAATGATATGTACGTATATCCAGGTGTTGTAAAACAATGCTTATTAGATTACACACCTGCAAGACACAGTAGTTTCCACCTTTCTTCTTCTTGAGGAGTTCTAAGGCTTCTGCAGTATAACCAGGAGCCACAACTCCATCAGATACCTGTTGTCACAATTATTATTAATGTTAATACAGTAGCTAAATACAATAGTTGCGAATCCGCAACCAACCATTGAACTCTTACTCGTAACAATATAATAGCCCATATTACAAATGTCATTATGTTTTGTAGCGTTAATATACTATATTGTATAGCACTTACCTCCCTGGAAATTATCCTAGCTGTAAGAACATCACACTCATCGGACAAAGCCACAAAGTCACCAAAGGATGACATGCGGTCAGCTCCTCTAGCACGAGCATAAGCAATGGCCAGGGGTGTCAGGGGGCCCAGGTCCTCTACCATGCACACCTTTGCCTGAAACATAAATTAATTTGCAATATTTAATAGAATTTCAAGAGTACCAAAGCATATATTATGTCTATATTTACCGTATTTGCCGGCGTATAAAATGCGATAAAAAAATGTATCGCAAATTACCCTGCATCTAATGCGCCCGTATTACGGATGGGAGGCCGAGCGCCGTAAGCGGAGGTGCCTAGCTAGGGAGTCTGGGATGAGCAGTAGTCCACTAAGCACAAAACTTGTGTTACTAATAATATTACTAATAATAAAATACTGAATAACAAGCCAAATTATCACAATCTATTATCACAAACTTGCGACAAATTTGCCGAAAACGTAAATAATGGCTTACATTTGCTTAACACCAGAGGGAAGCTCACATCTCACTGTACCTCCTTCCCCAGCATACGTAACCCACACCAGATACTGTACATGTCTTACATTATTTAACAACTGTTACCTTTAAGAAACACTTGTTTATTATCTAAATGAAAATTGCCCCTAGAAAGATTAAAGGAATGTAAATAAAGTTCAGCCGCCAGTCAGCCATTTGCAATGAGCCGATGATGCCAAAACAATAGCGATGGTGCTACACCCTGGTGGCAGCTCGCGGCAACACAGAACATCACAGCCTAAAATACGAGTTACACGTCCTGTCGGTAATTCTCTTGACCAAAGCATAAACAAGCCACACAGCTGCTCTGATCAGAGGTAGAGTTGGGTTAGTATAAGGTTACGTTATACTGTGTGATTTCCTACTTGATTCTAGTATATATTGTATTTATATGCACAAAAATCATTAGTTTTCCACTACAAAACCACTTTAAAATCACTTTCAATAAATGTTTGAAAAAAAAAAAAAAAAAAATCCACAAAATGTCACTGTAAAATAGGGGTGTGTCTTATACGCCAGCAAATACGGCGAGTATGTATATACAGTCAACCCTTGCTTTACGTGGTCCCACTTATATGCGTTTCCACGTTTACGCGGTACCCGGCCAAACACGGAATGCTCACTTTCCGCGGTGTGTGTACCCTTTTACGCAGAGAGCGGCGCGAGCAGGGTGCGCACAAGGTCCCCCAGTCATCAAAACATTACCGAGTTCTTCACCCGCCACAGCCGGCCCAAGTCAGTGATAAGTGATAATGATAGTGAGGATATGGACTTATATGGACTTTGAGGGGTTTGACAAAGAGGCCCTGCAAGCCTCTGTGGTGGATAGTGATACAATTGATACAGGTGAGGGCCAATAATCTGCCCAGCCATCTTTTCTACTGATGTAAGTGTTTAAAAAACCCAATATTATTGATATTTCTCTTAATTATTTATTGTGTGTGCATACCATCATAAAATTAAGAAGTTATTTTTACTACAACGTAGGTATTGTATCTGAAAAAGTGGAGTTTGGGGGTCGGCCCGGTCTCTATTTCAATTAATCCCATATGTTATGTTGTTCACTTTACGCGGGCCGTCGTGGGTTCAATTGACCGCGTGAAGTGAGGGTTCACTGTATATATACATACAGAGAGATCCATCCATCCATCCATCCATCCATCCATCCATACATACATACATACAGTACATATATATATATATATATATATATATATATATATATATATATATATATATATATATATATATATATATATATATATATATATATATATATATATATATATATATACATATATATATATATATATATATATATATATATATATATATATACACATATACATATATATATATATATATATATATATATATATATATATATATATATATATATATATATATATATATATATATATATATATATATATATATATATATATATATATATATATATATATATATATATATATATATATATATATATATATATATATATATATATATATATATACGGTATATAAAACGAAGGGTACTGTATAACTAATCAATACTTTCGACTTGCTTTGCTCACTGTACAAAATGGAACTCCAACATGATGATTAGGCATCTTGGTTCTTAAGTTTCAAATACAAGTAAATACTGAAGTGTTAATTTCAACATTTATAAAGATGCTAATTATGCAATCCCTTTTAGTTTTAGATTTATTTTACCATTAATCGACAAACATTTACACGTTACTTTTCATATTCCAGATTTAATGTAATTCTTTCCTAGTAATAATAAAAGCAGTGACAATATAAAGTACAGTATTGCTTTCATCTTCATTAAAGGAAAATCCTTTCAATTATTTTTTTTTTGACAGTTTTGTAATTTGATAAATGTTGAGAATAGCTTATTGATATAAAATCCTCATTTCTCATTTTATTAAACTGACAATCTATTTTTTCATTTTACCATTTTTATTACCAAGTGCAGCCTACTTCTATAGAAAAAACAAATGGGAGCCATTCTGCTCCTCTTCAACCTAACTACAGTGACCCCTCGTTTAACGAACACCTCGGTTAACGTAATTTCGATTAACGAACTGCCTTCCATAAGGATCTTCAATTCGTTCAACGAAAAAAATTTCGCTTAACGAACTTCTTACGAACCGACCTCAACATGTTTTCGCTTGCACTGACCGGGCAACCAGCTTTAGTATCAGTCCGCCAATGCATTAATCGGTTCTAGGGCTTAAATTCCTTACTATTTTTGTAAATATCAAGAAGTTTATACTATTCAATAATTTTAAAAGTTTAATATTCAATTTTTTAGTCATTTTAACAATTATTGAACATAATTGAAGGTAAAGTGACTAGTTTAATGCGCGGCATCCAGCCTCTTAACACAGCAAACAGGCGTCAGTCTCTCTCTGTTTTCACTGGAGGTAACATCTTGCTTGAGACTCTCTTCAACTAAACGCTTTTTTTCTGTGTTTCCAAGCAAATTATTGGTCATTTTGAAAATTATTTTACATATTGACAATATATAGTGCAGTGCAGTGTTACTTTAAAGAAAATATTCTTTATTTACAGCTAGTTTAACTTTGAAAAATACGTGTTGCCATTGTTTGAATCCAGCATGGGGCCTAAGAGATCAAGAAAAGTGATTTCAATCCAAATAAAGCAGGAAATAATAAAAAAACACGAACAAGGTATTAAATCAAATGCGCTATGCAAAGAATATGGCATGTCGGCATCAACTGTGTCGACAATTCTTGCACAAAAAGACAAATTTAAGGAAGTGAACGTGAGAGACAAATCTACAAGAGTGTTTAAAAGTAGATCCCTAATCGTAGAAACTGAGAGGTTACTTATCATCTGGATTAGGGAAAAACAGATGAAAGGTGATTCAGTTTCTGGTGATTTCATTTGTGAAAGAGCCAGGGAGATTTATGAACATTTAAAGACAGATCAACCTGGTTCTTCAGGAACAGAATTTGAAGATTTTCGGGCTAGCAAAGGCTGGTTCGAAAAATTTAAGAAAAGAAGTGACATTTTAAGTGTTGTTAGGCATGGTGAAGCTGCTAGTGCTGATAAAGAAGGGGCAGCAAAGTTTTTAATTGAATTTAAAAAACTGATGGAAGAAGAAAATTATCTTCCACAGCAAGTGTTCAATGTTGACGAAACTGGGCTGTTCTGGAAAAAGATGCCCAAAAGAACATTCATCACCAAGGATGAAGCCTCTTTACCTGGGCATAAACCCATGAAAGACCGTCTCACTCTATTGCTTGGTGCCAATGCTTCAGGGGATTTCCGACTGAAGCCTATGCTTGTCTACCACTCTGAAAACCCCAGGGTGTTCAAGCAACAGAAAGTGGTAAGAACAATGCTTGGAGTTTATTGGAAGTCCAACCGTAAGGCATGGGTGACAAGACAGTTCTTTAATGAATGGGCTGTTGATGTGTTTTGCCCCTCTGTCAAGAGCTACCTAACCACCAATAAACTTCCTTTAAAGGCTCTTCTCCTCATGGATAATGCTCCTGGTCATGACCCTGACCTTGCCAGAAATTTGGAGTATAAATTTGACTTTGTGAAAGTGTTGTTTTTGCCTCCAAACACTACATCACTCATACAGCCAATGGACCAGAATGTGATCAGCAACTTCAAGAAGTTGTACATGAAGAAAATGTTTAGGAGGTGTCATCAGGCAACTTCCATTGATCCTGAACTAACACTGAAACAGTTCTGGAACACACAATTCAACGTCCTGGAGGCTGTAAAATTGATTGTGTCATCATGGCAAGAAGTCTCCAATAGAACCCTCAATTCTTCATGGAAAGCACTGTGGCCATCAGTAGTCCATGATTTTGAGGGATTTGAGGATGACACAGAGTTGGACCAGGAGATTGTGTCCATTGGTCAGTCATTGGGTCTTGAAGTGGAGGAGAAGGATGTGGAAGAGCTTGTGATGTCTCATGAGGAGGAACTTACTCCTAATGACTTGAAGGAACTGGATGAGATGTTACGGGTAGAGGCTGACAGTGGTGAGGAGGAAATTGAAAGTGATGACCATATGTCAGCTAAACAGTTGAAAGATGTGATTTACCACTGGGAGAAGTTCAGGGAACTGGCTTCAAAGCACCCAGAAGTGGAAAAAACTGAACTAACTTTGTGTCATGTTGAGGACTCAGTGGTCTCCTTCTTTAAACATAAGTTAATGGTGAGGAGGACAGATGCCCCACAGACCACAATTGACACTTTCTTCAGTAAAAGGCAGAGGGAACAAGATGCTAGCCCTCAGCCTTCCACTTCAAGAAGGAGAGAGGATGTTCATGGTGGAGAATCTGTCAGTCCAGAGGTTCCTGACATTTTCATGGAAGGTGACTCACCTTCCAAGAAGCAGTAAAATGCTTCTCCTCCACCTCCACTTCCTTCTCTTCTCCCTTCTCCTCCTGCACCTCCCACTTCAAATGCACATCACCACCATCATCCAGGAGCCTTCTACATACACACCTCAAAGTAAGTAAATTTTTCCGCCATTTTTGTTGAAGTTAGGAAATTTTCGGTGAGCTGGAACCAATTACCCAAAAACCCATTGAAACAATGGTTTCGGTTAACGAACGTTTCGGTTAACGAACGACCTTTTGGAACGGATTGAGTTCGTTAACCGAGGGGCCACTGTACAGATATTTATTTAAATGCTATAGAGTATTCTACACCTTATCCATTCTAATTCACAATTTTACTTCCAGAAGAGTAATAACTTATTCCTATGCTTAAAGTACTAATACTCAGTTTTAAATGAGTATGTCCACAGCACTCTACAGTATATACAGTACTGATCATTGTTAAATATCAAGGGTAAGCTTTTATTCCGCTCAAAACTATCCTGTCATTGGAAATGAAGAAACCCACAAGCTTAGAAAAGTATTTTGCATCGTAAGCCTAGTTATCTCCTACTCACTCACAATAGTACTGCCTCTTTTTCATCTATCTCAGCCTCAGGCATGGAGGTCTTGTACCCTACAATTATGTCCATTACTCTTCACATCCCACCCACCTCTTGCTCCAAAAACTTTGCCAATTACATGCAATTCCCATCTTGCACACAAATGTGTCTTTTAATACCGATGGGCAAACATTAACCCATTTCATCCAATCACTCCTCTCCTCAGAATGCTAACGGATCAAAAGATTCCGATCATATGAATCCAAGACCAACAGCATTAAACTGCTACAAGAACTACTGTATTACTGTACAGTACAGCAAAAACAAATGCCTACCTCTGCTTCATCAAGAGGTACAGCAACAGCAGCTCCTGCAGGAGAGACGTGTTTGAAGGAGGCAGCAGCAGGTAGGTCAAGGGCACTACGGAGCTCACGGACAAGTTGCCATGCATTGAGGGCATCACAAAGGTTGATGAAGCCAGGTGACCCATTCACCACTGTAATGAAAAGCATTAAAAGAACCATCTGTACTGTACACCTTATATACTGTTCTCGCTCTCCCCTTTAGGTGAATCAATATCCTAATATCAAAGTTTATTTTTTTTCCATTTCCTCAGGATTACAGGGTACAGTATTTACATTTTTCAGTTTCCAAAATGTTTGCTCTTTTGTGGCATCTTAATCTATCCACTTGCATTAATGTTCACGCTTCCTTACTTAATGAATTACCAAAACTCTTTAAAACCTCTTGCATACCAAATCACTACACCACATACATCCAATGTTTTTCCTTTTGATATTTACAGTACCTGCTCCCCCTTTAGTATGCTTCTTGTCAGCGGTCATAGATCCATCCAACAAACCTTCATTCTCCAGAACATCCTCACTCTACAAAATTAAATATCACAAACTAATCCCTTTATCCCCCCCCCCTCCTCTAAATCAAGCCAAACAAAAGTTGTGTATACTGTACTTTCTGAAAACTAAATTTCCAGCATTCTAACATTCCTCCTAAACCCTATTATGTACAGTACTGTATCTCTATCAAAATTTCTACTGAATTTCTTTCATAAATTTGCCATTACAAATACAGTCAACCCTCACTTTACACGGTCCCACATTCCGCGTTTCCACGTTTATGCTGTACCCTGCCAGAACCCAGGATGCTCACATTCCACGGTGCGTGTACCCCTTTACGCGGGTGAAGTATAATTTTTTTATTTAGCTCATAAAATTCATACAAATTATCCGGCCAGAATATAATTTACATTGCTGGAATTCTTACAATTTGATGATCATTTTGAAAAGAAGCATCATATATTTTGCATTAGACATACAAATTTTAGATCTAATGTAAGTATTTTGTTTACTCTGAGTAAATATGTTATCTTTTGTGCAAAATATATGACATCTATATTCAAAATATTCCTGGTCTTACAAGGAATCCAGCAATGTCAATTATATTATCCTAACTTTAGTCTGAGGTATTATTTATTACTAAAAGTTAAAATCTAGTTTTTTCACCCAACATTTCTCTGGTAGGGAGGGAAGGTGGGGGGTGGGGGGGAGGGTTGAGACCGACCGACCATCTGGCACGGTTATCTGTCATGAATATTTTTTTTTTTTATTAACTGAAGATATTTGTTTTAGCTCATAAAATTCATACAAATTACCCGGCCAGAATATAATTTACATTGCTAGAATTCTTACAATTTGATGATCATTTTGAATATAAACATCATAGATTTTGCATTAGACATACAAATTTTAGATCTAATGTAAGTATTTTGTTTACTCTGAGTAAATATGTTATCTTTTGTGCAAAATATGACATTTATATTCAAAATATTCCTGGTCTTACAAGGAATCCAGCAATGTCAATTATATTATCCTAACCTTAGTTTGAGGTATTATTTATTACTATACCTTAAAATCTAGTGGTTTTCCCCCAAAAATTTCTCAGAGAGGGAAGAGCCAGTGTGTGTAGTGTGAGAAGAGGGGGAGGGAGTTGAGTCCATTATTTGAATGGACATTAACTTGGCGACTGTATTTCTCTATTTCTCTTAAGTATTAATTGTGTGCATGTACCATCATAAAATTAAGATGTTATTTTTACTAGAACATAGGTATTGTGTCGGAAAAAGTGGAGTTTGGGGGTCAGCTGGTCTCTATTTCAATTAATCCCATATGTTATGTTGTTCACTTTACGCGTTTCTCACTTTCAGTGGTAACCTGTGGGTTGAATTAACCGCGTAAAGTGAGGGTTGACTGTACATAAATTACATCTTTTCTGTAAGTAAATAATCCATACCAGTCAGGGGAAGTTCAGCATTCTGTGTGAAGATCTGAGCTGGCTTCTGGTGAGGGTTCATGCCATAACGGAGAGGTAGTTGGGATACCCCTGACGAGTAGGTCTTCCTGAAGTAGTCACTGATGTGATCATCATACTGTGCAGTGTGTGTGAATGCCTTTAAGGCCAACTCTTGCCTGCAAACAAGACCGTACAGTACATCAATTATTTTCTAAAACTGTACATGGAGTTCACAGCATTAAAAATGAATCCCCACCCCCCCAAAAAACGTGAATACTGAGCACACAGTCCTAGTTCCTATTAATAGTCTGTACTAAATACAAATAATTCAATTATAAAAAGAAATGTAATGGAATGTAAAAATGTATGCATACTTCTGAAGCATTACTCTTTATCTAGAAATATACAAATTAAAAAATTATGTTAAGGATATGACCCTTCTGCTATGGAAAGTCAAGAAATTCTCTACCATGAAGCACACACCCTCTTCAATACATCTTTGATAGTTGCATCTAGGAATCCTGGGGATTTGGAAAATACTGTACACTATAGTACATATTTACAGTATACAGGGTACAATAGTTTCCTTTGGTTTTCTCTGTCCAAGAGGAATGAAACCCAAAAAAGGAGCCAGTTACCAGAAACCCCCAAAATCTACAGCATAAATCTTGAAAGTTACAGGGACCCCTACTTAATTTACAGTATTATTAAGACAATGCTCAGGGGAATTTGATGAATTACAGTTTCTTGGGTTCTCTACCTTTGAGAGGACGAAGCAGTCAACCATTAGCAACCCAAGGACAATACTGTACTGCAGAAATAAACAATTATACAAGTTGTTTGGATCCCCTACTTAAGTGATCCCCAACCTGTAGTTCACAGGCGCCATGGCACCTGCTGAACCACATTTACTAGAAAATGTGCGAAATATTTGGGGTTCTTTGTCAGAGTGAAAATGAAAATACATATGTATTAATTTGATAGGATTTTATAATTTGTGCAAGAGAGAGATAGAGGAGGATGAGGAGAAGAACTGAACTGGAGATTGAAATTTTAATTTTCAAACTGATTTGCAATTGAAAACCTCATATTAAGCATGCATGACCCAAGATTAAATGTAAAACGTATGCAGCTGGTAACAGACTTCTGTAAAACTGCAAATAAATGTATATAGCACGATTTTTTTTTTTACTTTAATGTAGATCAAAAGTTTTTGTGCCCTTCACTATACAGGGTATTTACAATGACAAACGTGGCCCAGAGCCTACAAAAGGTTGGAGACCACTGCCCCACTTATTTCAATTTACCCTGTAATTATCATTTAACAATTTCCACACTTCTGCAAGTTATCCACAATTACCCAATGGTAGCTCTCAAAGCTGCATGGCCTCCTGCAAGCCTCTGTCATTCTTAGCCCATCGCTGCAGTCAAATTCTTGCACCTTTTGACCCAACTAATCTTTCATTTCTCCACATGGCCTCTTTGCTCTGACCAAGGACCTCTTATCTTTCAACATCACAATACACATCCATTTCACCAAACAGTACTTGCAGCTTACTAAAGTTAACGAAAACCATCCTCTCAACTGCCCCTATATTGTTTCCTTGCAACAACACTTACAGGTAAACTTAGAAGCCCCAACACCAAACTTTAAAAAAACACATTTTGCAAATTTGGAAAATACCCCCACTGATTTTAACTGATAAATTCCTCTAAGAGATCATAGAATCCAAAAGTTAGATCCTTAAGATTATCTATGAAAGGTAGAAATCAAAAGGTGGCCTCATGCATTGTTGAAACTAACACCACATACAGAGCCTGATCATGCAATCAAACTTGGAACTACCATCTACAACATAGAGGATTCACTTCCCCCTCCCTTACACCCTAACTCTTACCTTGTGGTAGGAGCGGTGTCTCCTGATTTTAGCTCCTTTAGGACCTTGTCATAGTCGAGAGGGTCGCAGATCACGGTGACACGGGCATGGTTCTTTGCAGCAGCTCTCAGGAGAGTGACGCCCCCTATATCTATGTTCTCCACGGCCTCTTCCACCTTCACACCCTCTTTACATACAGTCTTCACAAATGGATACAAGTTACACACCACCACCTGTGACAAAACATCTGGTATTGGTATGTTATGTCTACAAACCACTTCAAACCTTGTTACTTCATGGTGTTGTATTAAATTTCATCCCTTGACAAATATTCACATGCCTTTAAACTATGGGCACACATTAAATACAGTCATGCCAGTCCATTAAGTCATTTTTTTTAGAAACACTATTTGGAATATTTCATACATCTATTATAAACAATAGGATACATCAAAGTCTAAGTAAGGTCATCCTCAACTGTAGTTATGTTCATGTAACAAGTAATACTGTGAGCTCAATCTGCTAATGCTTACCAGCCAACCCAAATTTTTTTACGAATTATTACATAGTATAATATTTCCCAATTTTAAGTTTAGAATTATTTTAATCATCACATGTAAAGTAAGTAAACATTTCAAGTGGTTGAATTTTAAAGCGCATGAATAAAATCTGCTAATTAACAACTTTAAACTGTCAATTTGCACTGAATATCTTTTATAGATACGGCACAGTACTACTGTACAGTGCACCCAAATAAACAATCCTACTACTGTATTCAGTAAAAGTGAAAAAAAAAAAAAAAACAGTATGTTCCTGCAGTGATAAAAACAGCACGAGTTGGTGTGACCTGAATGAGGCTGATGTTCCGAGTGGCGAGATCTGCAAGGTCAGCTGGAGTGTCCCTGGCCAGGATGCCGCCGTGGATAGTGGGGTGCAGCGTTTTGACACGTCCTCCCAGCATCTCCGCAGCCCCCGTAACTGTTGCCACATCCGACACCTATCAAACCATGTATTTATAATAATTTAGATTACCACACACATCTTTTAATGCAAGAAGTAAATAATAATGAAATTTCAAAAGATACATTAGCTGTCCAATAAAAGAACGAATGAGGTGAGCAATAACCATCTACAGTATAATTACAGTGGTCCCTCGGTAAACGAGATTTCGGTTAACGATTTACCTTCCATAAGATTCTTAACTTCGGTTAAAGAGCAATCCCTCGATTAACGAGTTTTTTACGAGCCGACTTCATGTTTTCGTTTGCATTTGGTGGTCCACCAGCTGTAGTATTAGTCCGCCAATACAGTAATCGGTTTTAGGGCTTAAATACCTTACTATTTTAGTAAATATCAAGAAGTTTATACTATTCAATCATTTTAAAAGTTTAATATTAAATTTTTTAGCCATTTTAACAATTATTGAGCATAATTGAAGGTAAAGAAACTAGTTTCTGGCATGCCATCCATCCTGTTAACACACCAGACAGGCGTTAGTCTCTGTTTTCAGTGGAGGTAACATCTTGCTTGAGACTCTCTTCAACTAAACGCTTTTTTTCTGTGTTTCCAAGCAAATTATTGGTCATTTTGAAATATATTTTACATATTGACAATATATAATGCAGTGCAGTGTTGATTTGAAGAAAATAATCTTGAATTACACCAAGAGAGCTAAAATTTTATGGGTGAAATGGCACCATGGGGTGACTTCTCTTCCACCCCAATGCCTTCTCTTCTTCCTTCTCCACCCCCATTCTAATTCCCATCATCATCATCATCATCCAGGAGCCTTCTACATACACACCTCAAAGTAAGTGTACTTTTCTACTTTTTTTGTTGAATTTAGGCAATTTTCGGTGAGCTGGAACCAATTACCCAAAAACCCATTGAAACAATGGTTTCGGTTAACGAGTTTTTCGGTTAACGAGCAACCTGCTGGAAAGGATTGTGCTTGTTAACCGAGGGACCACTGTAGTTGAAAACCACAACATTTAAAAAACTCTATTGTGGGACAAAAATGCAATAGTATACTGTACTGACCTCCAGTCCTGCGTCCCTCAGCTTGGTGGCGGTACCCCCAGAGGCCACAAGGGAGAGTCCTGCAGCAACCAGGCCACGAGCCAACTCCACCAACCCACTCTTGTCCGACACACTCAGCAACGCTGATGGAAGCCACACACACACTTTAGGTATTTTTACTAATAATAGAAATTTTGCTGGCCTACTAGATGATAATCGCAATTGCAGGGCTGATCTAAAACATTTTATTGCAATGCAATCCTAATAACCTACAGTCTACCCTATACTAGATTTGTGGAACACCATTAAATGTCACGTTTATCAATCCCACTCTACTGGCATAACTAGGTCTTGATTCTGTGGTTACTGTACCAATAAGAGAACTAGCCAACACGTTATTTTTACACAGTTCCTACTTATGTTAACGCTTCATTATTCTAGACCAAGACCTCAAGCCTGTGCAAGAGGGTCCCGGAGGGGGGAGTTACAGAATCCACCCCCCAAAAAAAATACTTCTTGGACCCCACTTTTATATTCCTTGATCCGCCCCTGCTGTGTCCACTTTGTGGATGAACTTCATCGGCCAGATCATGCTTCAGATCTTAACAATACTATTGATATCTACAGAATTTTTTTTTTACAGAGCCAAGTCTGAACTACTTGAAACAGCATTAATCTATGCAAAACAAAAGAACTCAATATAACAGGTTACACTAGACTCCAACCCCCTCCCACCTTGCCCGTCTCGACCAGCCAACCCCCTCCACCTCGCCCGTCTCGACCAGCCAACCCCCTCCACCTCGCCCGTCTCGACCAGCCAACCCCCTCCACCTCGCCCCTCTCGACCAGCCAACCCCCACCTCGACCAGCCAACCCCCTCCACCGCGCGCCCGACCAGCCAACCCTCCACCGCCTGCCTCGACCAGCCAACCCCCCCACCTCGCCCGTCTCGACCAGCCAACCCCCACCTCGCCCGTCTCGACCAGCCCAGCCCCTCCACCTCGCCCGTCTCGACCAGCCAACCCCCCACCTCGCCCGTCCGACCAGCCCAGCCCCTCCACGCCCGTCTCGACCAGCCCAGCCCCTCCACCTCGCCCGTCTCGACCAGCCCAGCCCCTCCACCTCGCCCGTCTCGACCAGCCCAGCCCCTCCACCTCGCCCGTCTCGACCAGCCCAGCCCCTCCACCTCGCCCGCCCTGACCAGCCCAGCCCCTCCAGACCAGCCCAGCCCTCCACCTCGCCCGTCTCGACCAGCCAACCCCTCCACTCTCCCGACCAGCCAACCCCTACCACCAGTCTCGACCAGCGTCTCGACCAGCCAACCCCTTACTTTACCAGTCTCGACCAGCCAACCCCTTACCTTACCAGTCTCGACCAGCCAACCCCTTACCTTACCAGTCTCGACCAGCCAACCCCTTACTTTACCACTCTCGACCAGCCAACCCCTTACTTTACCACTCTCGACCAGCCAACCCCTTACTTTACCAGTCTCAACCAGCCAACCCCTTACTTTACCAGTTTCGACCAGCCAACCCCTTACTTTACCAGTCTCGACCAGCCAACCCCTTACTTTACCAGTCTCAACCAGCCAACCCCTTACTTTACCAGTCTCGACCGCTTTCTGAAAAGCGGAGTACAAATACTGGTCCTAAAGGCTGTTCACAAGGGTCACTAGCCCAGGCCTCACTATCCTACAACCCTATCCTGATACCACTGTCTTTACCAATGTGTCCCGAAAATATATATATTTTTTTTAAGGAATGAAATTAAATAAATTGACACTGAAAAATTACACTTAACCAACCCCCCACAGGCACCCAATGATTACAATGTAGTTATGCAATTTATTGGTATAGGTAATTTTTTTTTTAATCAGTACCTGTACATTTGGTGTCGGCAAGAATTTAGGGGAGCCACGGCGAGCTGTTATAAATTGTACGTTTCCAAATAATGTTGGGAATCTGAATTAAACAAAAATTTTATTACTTATTTTGACTTGGCGGAAGAGATTTTTCATTCTTTTTTTTGTCATTTTGTTTAATCATAACGACAATACAATTTTAATATTTACATACTCTGTTGCTAATTTTTTTTTATGTATTTTTACGGATTATTTAAGATTTCACAAATCCAGTCCCTGTCTGTGTGACAGGTGCTGGACCGAGCTGCTGAACTGACTTGTTCAGTACGTGTCCGTGTGTCATCCCTTTGCCAAGTGGTGATAGGGCCGAATGGTTTCAGTCTGGCCTAGGATACCATCACGAAAACGGTGGAGTGTATGGTCTCTGAATCACATATTGTGTTTGAGCTTGACTCAAGCATAATATACTCCGTAATTGATGTTACTTAATTTGTTTCATAATTCATGTGGTCGCTGCTTTAAGTGGGTGAAATATTTATACTTACTTTATTATTTCCTTGTTTATTGGTGCCACTGTTGTTCATACTCATTCTTTACTTATATAATCCTACCATTTTTAGTGCTAAATTGCTGGTATGACTCACTATTCTTCTCATTCTTTCAAGTTGGGCAGTGCTTATCAAAGGAGGCGTGTTCTTGCTTACAGGAAGTACACTTCAGCTTGCTAGCTTCAGTGTGAATGTTTACCTGTGTGTTTGTTTGTGTATGACTGTGTGTGTGTGTGTGTGTGTCATTCTAACTCTTGTCCTAATTATCTGTCCTTAATCATTCTTTAGTCTTTATCACTTGTCTGTGTCTGTTCTGGGAGAAAAATGAAGGAGGCCACGAGGATGTTGAAAATTCCTCAAGGGGGGAATGGAGTGAAAAGGGTTGGAACCACTGTACTAGAGTCATTGCACAACGCTCCCAAGCATCACTCCGCTATCTTTTCTTGAAACTTCCCGATAACCTTCACAGGGTTAATGAGATTAGCATACTAATACTTCAAACCATATGAAAGTGTTTAAATACCTAAGGTTTTTCCGATAACTTTAAATACCGATTGTTATCTTAGCAAGACAGAACCATTGATAGCTATTACGATCAATGTGATAACGTTCTACCTGCTTTACAAGTGAATGGGGGTAGAGTACTGTATTTTTGTATGTATCACTAACTTGGTTAACGAGTGAGCGATGCTACAATCGCTAACTTTGACGTTTGTTGGTATTAGCCAGGGCGAAGAGGGAGTGAAGATTGTGGAGATACGGCAATTTTTCCTTCCCTAGCAAATTTATATGGATCTCCGAAACCCTTTAACATAAAAAAAAAGGTTCGTGGTCTTAAAATTAATCATTCCCAAGGGTTTAATTTCCGACCTAAACAGCCATTTAAACACTTCCAAATGAGAAGCTGTGCAGTTAACCCTCCACTTTCTCCAGAAGAATACGGTAAGGCAGCATTCGAGGAGGGTGAGGTTGCACCTCAGCTCCCCTACCTCCTTAATACGACAATTTTCGGCTTTTCCAAAAAATCTTTGTACCAAAACTATTCTAAATCATTCTGGTAAGAATAATAAATTCGTTCTTAAGGACGGGGTGGGCAGGCGTTTGTCAATGTGCTTGCCTGGTTTCAGAATGACATTATCTGTAAACCAACTCATTGTAGATATTTTTTAGTCCAACTAGATTATGGAAATACTTAATGTTTAACTAAGTTATGGAAACATGCCGTAAGGTCGTTAATTTTATCAAGTCATCCACTGACAATACTGCAGTTTTACGTTATACTATTTTAAATTTCACTAAGTTTCAAATATTCCCCTCCTTGAGATAACTGAAGAGAAGAGGTAGACTCCCTCTTGGTGGAAAGAACTCGGTATGAAGCCTATAAACCCTGTAAATTATGCACGTAAAAATTGTGCACAAACTAAGCATGTATATAATGAGCATAACCTATGAACTTCGGCCTTTCTTCGCAGTGTAAAGGAAAGAACAGAAGCATGGACAACCTTTCCCGGTAAAGATCTAGAGACCATAACATGCAACTTGTGGTACCTCCTACCAACGTCTCTTGCATCACCACCTCATTTTCTGCTGATTGGTAATTATGAGAACACCGCTACCACCTGAAGTTGTTGTTGATGTTCGATTTCGTTCATTTTTTTCCTGATGTTCTTATTATATTAAGTGTTTTAAAAGAGACATGTACTAGAACATAATAGAGTTGTCTTTGCTTTGATCATCCGAGATATCTTGGGAATTTTACGATTGGAATCAGTAGTTTAGACTATTTTAAGACACTTCCATGACGTTTCCCTTGCAAATGGCCTGACCTAACTGGGAACTCCCCCCCCTTTATTTACCCAACTTCTTAGCAGGGGTGCTCAGCTCCCCAGAGCCCCCGCCATATTAAACAAGTACTTATTTTTGACAACTGATACCAATGAAAGCAACTTTGGTGAAGCCAGTCTAATTAAATTACTTTGATTGAAGCGTCATGATGTAATTTTACTATTTTTTTTTGTAAAGGTGTAGAAAAGGGTTACCACCAGAAGGAATGGTCCGAATTTGTCGATTTTTTTTCTACACTAATATATTATACACAAGTGGAAACGACAATGCATAGAACCTGACCTAATAACCCCAACAAGTTGGGTTTAGGTCAGATTCTATTAGTCGTGGCGTGACCACATAAGAGGACAGACGTGCCCATAGGTGCTCTCGACTTCCCGATCGTCCCACAAAGGTCCCCTCTCAGCAAGCAAGTTTTTGCCAGAATGGGGGTCGACAAAACGTCCCAGAAGAGGCTCTCTCTTGGACGCAGACATCTCTGATACGGATGCCAACGCCAACTCACCTGGTCATACTGAATCCAGCACCCTTCAAGAGTCAGACCCCAGTGATTATGACAGTGACGGTAATTTTTCTATGGGAAACACTAGCCAGAGTGGAAACACTAATGCCACGGACCCTATCACCCTGCCCTCTGCCAACCATAAGCTTAATCTACACTTCCCCAAGGACTCACTGAAAACTGTAGAGGAATGCTTTAATTGGATGAAGTGCTGCAGACAGCACGGTCTCAACATTCAATTCCGACAAGGTAAGAACCAGAACTTTATCAAGTGTCAGACTCCTGAGGTCTATGAAACACTTCGTACTGTTGGCTTTAACGGGGTTGTCCTGATGCCCCCCCCCCCCCGTAGACGCTGCTGAATGTTGCCACTTTCTAGTGAAACGTTTCCCCCTATACGCTAACATCGAAGACGCGCGTGATTTTAATTCTAGTATATTCAGTATATGTCGACATTACCGGGGGAAGACTCCACAAGCTGCTGTCATTGTCAAGTGGAAGGGAAGGGAATGCCCAACCACTGTGGAAGCCCAACCACTGTGGAAGCCCACCCACTCCTCCCTCCACTGTACACAGAACTATCACCCCGGGCCTGCATTTTGTTTTCTGTTCTCATTGGGGTCACACCTTCACTGCCGACGTGATCGTCCCAGATGTCGCTTCTGTTCACAGCCATAACTCTGCCGCCTGTGCCCAGAAAATCAATGACCACCTTAATAGGGTTGGTGTGGGCTATGTAGTTGATCCCAGCTGGTGCAACTGTGGTGGCCTGCACAATGCTGACTCACGGCAATGCGATTGGCCCCAATCGCCCGTCTGTCCCAGGGGAAAAGCCTCCCCGAAGGCTGCCGTGTCTACCTATGTGCCACCCTCCACCCCTACTGTACCTGTCCCACTACACCATATCACCTCCACCCCCCACTGTACTTCGCCACGCCTAGTATATTGGCAACCCTGAGTTTGGCCGCAGTTTGTAAACTTTGTGGTCAACCGACTCTCACACCCTCTCACTACATCCTCACTTGCCCTATGACGACCTCCTACAGGTTCCCAGCCGTTACCAACACCTCTTCCTTCCCTGACCAGATATCCCCTCCTCCTAGTGACAGGCCTGGCACTTGACATTATTAGGGACCTGCCACACTTTGCCATAAACAAATTATACTGAGAATTCCCCACTCATTCTGTCACTAAGTAACTTGCTGACAAAACCCATGACCCTTCAGGCTTTTACGCCCTTAATGCACGAGTCATAAAGGTAAGCATGCACTCCGCATGCTTCCCAGATGAGCACTGTAAACGCTTCTGTGCTCCACCTTGCACAGAATGCAAGGGGGTGCCCAGAAACTAGCCCCCTCGGGGGCAGTAAAAAAAAATCTATTCTATTAGGGTCTATGCATTATCGTGTTAATTTAGGTGTTAAAACAACTTGCCTTAATATCAATGTCGATATACATCAGCAATGGCGAGGAGGAAATCGTGGAAGCGTTCACCATCTTTAAGAAACGTCTCTTTTTCAAAGAATTCAGCAAGGTAAACAACAAAAATGGCGCCGGGAGGAGAGTTGTGAAGCGGTATAAAGTAAAGATAAAAATTCCTAAAAAATATTTAAAATTATAATAGAAAGTCGTCGATTCCTTTAATTTACTTAAAATCACCAAAACAATAAGTACAGCAAAAATAAAGAAAATCAACAAACAGACGACGCAGTGACAGTAAATAATTTTAGTGCCATATGATCAGTCGTTCACCTTGTTTTACCCCGCAATTTCCTCATCCTTCATGCCCTACACCACTGGTGATTTATGATAGTACATAAGAGAAATCTAGAAAACTAAAAATACTTAAAATTTAAATAAAAAGTTGTCGCCTTTTAAAACTTATTATATTGAAAAAAATAACGAAGTCGGACTCCAACTGGTGATAGTACTGTTCACATAAATTGCCTGTTTATCATAATTATTACACTATACATAAATATCTTACAAACACACATCTATTGAGCTATTCCCCTGCCAATATGTTCATTAACAAGCTCTAGGTACACCAACCCGTCACGGGCACCACTGTGTACAGTTTCACAAAACTATTATACCGTCGAGCAGGGTTAATAAAAAATAAAGAATCTGATAAAAGTCTCACCAAGCTTAGCAGATGACGCCATGGTGATGTAAAGGCAGGATCAACACAAATGACAACTAGTACTACCACGATGATCCTTAGAAGAGAATTTGGTGACTACAAGTTAACCGCCAGCCGGCTCACACTCACTTGCCACGCCTCCACCCCGTGTCCGTTTATACTACTTCAATTACCAATTTTCTCAGTTATCGCGTAATAGAATCAATATAATTTATATTATGATTAAAGTTACTAACATCTGACTAAAATATATATTTGTTTAGAATATTTCATTATAAATGAACGTATTAAGAAAAAAATATTAAATACTGTAGTTATCGACAAATGCTATCAAACGAACAGTTAAAAAAGCAGTCGCCGTCCACGTGGTTGAGGCGGCGACCTTCAACCCACACTTAAGTTTTCCGACCTTTTTCGTTTTGTTTTAAATTGGTGTGGCTGTATCAACGATGATCATAGTGTTTAGCTTTATGTGTAAACACAGAATTGATTGTTATAATCACAATATAATTATAGTGGTTTTGTTAAAGCAAATCGATTAGCTGTCATTTAACGGTTAAAGGAATTAATTGTGAATAGGGTGAAACAATGTTATATGCATGACTACAGCAAGATACAGGATAGACTATTCCGCCAGGGACACCGACCGGCGACAGCCCTAAGCTAAACACTTTCTCCACAATATTTTCTCCGGTAATATCTCGTAATATGAAGTCAAAAGACGAAGGGTTACGGTGTGGCAGTTGTTTACTTGTTCCACCATTGTTGAATGAAGCAGACATGTGATGCATCTTATCTGAACAAAAATTTAGGCACCATACACGGCATGAAAAATGCCTTGCTAAGTTGCTGTGGGGTACGTTATGTTTGGGTTCACACTCAGGTTGGGATGGAGAAATGAAACTCACAATGTGCTCTCTGTATACATGTTGTATTGGATGTACAATGCAGCTTGGTGCTGGGAAGTGGCAGAGTGGTTACAAGCGTGATGTAGAGAGAGCTGGTTGGTGAGGATGCTCAGAGGAGGACCAGCTTGTGGGTCGCCAGGCAGCGGCGGAGGAGGTGGTGTTGCTTGCTGCGGCTGTAGCTAGAAGAGATAGGTCACCACGAGGTCAGGTCTTATATAGCGGAGGTAGGCGTGGCTTAATAGTTGACCTCCGTGATGTATGGCGGCGCTGGTTGACCTAGACCACGAGGCATACACTGGGGAATTCGCGGGGTCGGCTACTCAGCGACAAACAGCGTTTGTAGGGGAGAAATCACTACATTGCAATCATATATTCATATTGATAATGTGGAGAAGGTACAGGAGCCAAGTCCAGTGCTGCTAGACTGCTTTAATGAAAGGGATATCGCGCATTTCGCGAGTATAGTGAGGGAATCCCTTTGCAGCTTGTCTCTTGCATTGATTACGTTGTAGTGGATTCCTCCCCTACAAACGCTGTTTGTCGCTGGCTAGCCGACCCCGCGAATTCCCCAGTGTATGCCTCGTGGTCTAGGTCAACCAGCGCCGCCATACATCACGGAGGTCAACTATTAAGCCACGCCTACCTCCGCTATATAAGACCTGACCTCGTGATGACCTACCTCTTTCAACCTACACCAACCAGCAAGCAACACCTCCTACTGCCTGGCGGCCCTCGCTCCCGCCAGCGACCATGGCGACCCACAAGCTAGTCCTCTGAGCACCCTCACCAACCAGCTCTCTCTACTCAACGCTTGTAACCACGCTGCCACTTCCCAGCACCAAGCTGCATTGTACATCCAATACAATATGTACACAGAGAGCACATTGTGAGTTTCCTTTCTCCATCCCATCCTGAGTGTGAACCAACATCTCGTACCCCACAACGTTTTAAAGAAATTTACCAAGTTTCTGTTGGCTAAATTTAAAATAACCGCGAGCTACGACTGATACTGTTTGTGTATTCATCAACTAAGTATTTTCTATGTATTTATTATATGTTCTAGGCGTTAAAAAAAAACAATGTTAAATTCCCGTCATTGGTCTCCAAAGTATCGGTAGATAATTAACTTAGCACTTGGCCCCTTTCAGTTTGCTTGAGGGAAGTGGCGACTGCCAGGACTGTAAAAACTAAGGGATGTCCATGTTAGGGCTCCATTAATAAGACCCTCCCTAAACTCAAGACACTCCAGTCTCCAGTGTTGAAGCTCGATTGACGGAAATGTAGCCACTTGCTTTAAACGCCCTGTGTTTGACGAAATTGTTGGGTCCCACTAGGTTGACTCTAGGTCCCACTTGTCACAGGGTAACTGCTGTTCTGTACTGTAATTCTCAATTTCTATTAACTGTACATTAATTGCATCTGTAGTGTATTGATGAATATTGGTATTAGTATGGCACAGGGTCTGCTTACTAGCCAGTCCATCCTTAATAACCGAAAAACAGCATAAGAGCGTTTCTTTTAAAATAATAAGAGCATAAACTTTCTGGAATTAAAAGTTTCTCACACCTACGAAACTCGACAATATTACTGTCATGTGTTAAGAATATTCCCTAAAAAGGCAGAACTTGAAAGCTTGAGAGTAAAATCGGTAAATTTGCATAAGCGCACCCAACTCTGTTGGAAAGTCAAAAATATATTTTTCGAGTGTATTTATGTGTGTTTATGCCGATTATGACCTTCATTTCCGTCGGAAATTGGCCGGGTTTTTTTATCGATTTTTTTTGTGGGTCATTTTCCGAAAGAAATAATGGCTAAACGAATACAAAATACACAAAAAGACACTAGAAAAACATAAACCAAACCTAACCTAACTGACTCTCACCATATGATGGAATCACTTATTTCTTACCTTATTGGCCATCTCTTCTTTGTCTTTGGGATAAGGGATGAGTTACCACAATGCCACATATGTTGGTCTTGACGATATTTACATAAGTTCTTGCACTTAGGACACTTTACTGAGGTCGGGAGAACACCTTGAGATCGAAAAAATGCTATAGTTTCTTCGTTTTTTCCCCAAAACTCGCAATCGCTCCATATAATTGAAGTGACACCCATCGCAGACTTCCATGGTCGGAAATGAATTTGAAATTGGAAATATGAGACCCAAAATAAAAATCGAATTTGATTGGGCAAAAAATACCGCAAATTAAACCACAAATCATTTTAATTGGTTGCCCCCCCCAAAAAACGCTTTTGATTGGCCGCGTGACGTGTACAGGAACACATGTGAATGATAATTTATGAAGGAGACACGTATTGTGGGAGGTGAGGTAGGCGATAATGGCGGAAGATGAATGGAAGAAAATAGAGAAAATTTTGGATACGCTATCTCCATTATTATACATTTGCGACGGTAATGTAATAGATGAAAATTATCTTATATTAGACGTCTTATTCGAATGTGATAATATATTACGGGTAGGAATGTGGGGTGTGAAAATGCAATAATACCGTAAAATCAATATAGGTACAGATCTAGGTGTTAAACAAGTCTACAGCTGGTATGGACCCAGAGTAGGAGCCACAAGATACAAAATCCTGTACCTGCGTCCCGTTATTTTTAAGTGATTCCTCATACATTGTAACTCTGGAACTCGGTGTGCACACATACAGTATAACATAATATCTGTAGTTTTTCTAATTTTGTTTATACAGACATCTATACCATATACCCCGCTTTGTTATTCTTTTGCGTAGATACGGTAAATGATACAAGGTTAGGTTACCGTTTCGACCGAGTTGTTTCTGTTACTTATACTATAAATTTTATAGCATCCCATTATTATGTTCAGCTAAGAAAATAAAGCCCTTGTCTAATCCAAGGCCTATACAGTGTAGGAACCTATACACACCTTGGTCTAACCTACTAGCCTTTTGTTATGTGTTTTATGCCAAACTCCATCTTAAATTTAAAGAAACTGCAAAACCAGATTTTTTGTTTACAGTATTTGACATTCAATCACTCAAAATCACAAACCACGTTCTCTTGCTATTGGTTGACTCATTAAAGGTGAGGCAGTTATGATAAGGGACATTTACTAAATGTTCTTTGCTGAGTTATGTGAAGTTCTTGGTATAACCTGTGACTCATAAATGCTGAACGTTATGAAAGAACATAAAAATTAGCCCATTAATGTCTAAGGTGTGTATATAATATAACCCACACCCAAAGGACTATAAATAAAAACAACAATCACAAGAGTTGTAAATGGAAACTGTACACACAAGTGTTTTTGTCTTAAATAGAAGTATCATATCCATTAAAAACAGACTTGTTTCAATTATGTCAGTTCTGTATGAGCACCATCATTACTAGACTTAACAAGGCGTATCCAGGAATATCAAAAGGGTGGGGTCCAAGAAGTGGGTGAGGGGAACATGGTGAGCATAGCAAGCCACCCAGCTGGGGGGTCTTAGGGAAATTTTTTGAAATCTGACCAATATCATGGGCATTTTGAGGTCATGTGCACTACATATTTGTAGATATTCTGAGGTCAATAGTGATTGTACTTTTTACTAAGCAAAGACTGCCTGAGTACAATACTGCATTAAATAAAAAGTATTGGAATTTAGCTGATGAAAAGGGGGGAGCAGTCTGGACCCCCAGGACCCCCTCCCTGGATCTGCCCCTGCTTTTATTATCACAGGAACAACAGTCTCATACCTGTAACAGAAAAAAAAGTCAGAACATGATTGATAAGTAACTGGACTTTGCATGTACCCTGCATAATGAGGCCACCTGGAACAAAATCCCTACGGTAGTTGCTAACGTCACTTGAGCTCTTCCTCTCCCTTTGTTAGTGGGGATATTCACCAGCAGAGGTATTGACCTGGGCCATAAGTATTGATCAAGCTGTTGGGAGGCTGGCCAAGCGTTACCATGACTACAGCTTCAACACAATCAGGCATTTGGGGAAGGAGGGAAGTGAATATACATGCTAGGCTATACTGTATATGTAACTAGTCATCTTCCCTCTCATGTATTTCCTTTATTTCTTCTTCTTAATCAGTCAAGGTTTTACTGGTACCTGACTCAAATAGAAGGAATTGATTTGACAAAAGGTGGACAAGGCCCTTCTGAGGGTTGTTACACTTCAGTTCCTTGTTGATTGGTGGGATTAAGAAACCACAAACACACACACACCCATTGCTAAGGCAGCTCCAGAATTCTTAAAGGATAAGCAGAGCTATACTGTGTAGTAAACAAAAGCTTACTCTGACCTTCCTCCAATAAATTTTTATGGATGATTTATCTAGAATGCTGTACATGTACAGTCGCTCAAAAAATTTTCTTTACAAAATTGTGTTGAGAAAATATGACGCAACGGGCAAAGGATTTTGACAACCTTACCGAGACAACAGGAATTGAAGCGACTGTACATGAAAACACAGCAGATGCAACTACTGTACATGTATTGTACAGTCATGAACAAAAGTTCATTCCCTCCCTCCTAAATTGAAGCAGTATTAACCCCAAATAAAATAAAAACAGAACACATGCACCATAAAACAGTCAGGGTAAGTCAATTTGGAGATTCATTCATGTGACTCAGTCTGACCTCCAAGTGGGTGGGTGATTTTTGTCTGCGACTGTACATGATCATTTTAAAAGGAAAAGAGATAAATAATTTTACTTATGAAAACACTGAAGTGGCTCTAAATATGTCACCCATGGCAACACATTTAACTAGAATCTGGAAAATATTGCTCTCGAAACAATTACCATAAGTATCATTTGAATTTGTTTCATAAAAAGGAATATAATTGAAACAATACTCGAGACACACTTCATAACAGTTAGACAAAGTGCGTCTGCACAGACATTTTATAAAAAATATATGTCAAGAGGTCAAATATTACAATATATACGAGGTCTGTCCAAAAAGAAACCCAACTTTAAAAAAACAAATAAATTATTGCTTTACTTACAACTTAATCAGACTTGTCTCCTTCAAAGTACTCCCCTCCACTGTTGATACACCGCTCCCAACATTTTTTCGTTCTGGAACATGTTTTGAGGGATGGTGCGCAGGTCTCGTAGCGAATTTTCTTCTATCTCTTCTATCGGCGACCTTTCAGGGTGAATTTCAACTTTGGGGACAAAGAAAAGTCTGCAGGGCCCAAATCCAGAGAGTAGGGCGGCTGGGAGATGATAGTCGTCTCGTGCTTCGCCAAAAAGTCACGGATAAGGAGCAACGCGTGAGCAGGTGCATTGTCATGGTGCAGCATCCAGGTCCTGTTTGTCCACGCCTCAGGCCTCTTCCTTTACACTGCCTCTCTCAAATACTTCAGGACCTGCAAGTAAAACTCTTTATTGACTGTCTGACCATGTGGAACAAACTCATGATGAACGATGCCCTTCCAATCAAAAAAGACGATCAACATCACCTCCACATTTGAGCGACTCTGACGTCCAGATTTGGGATCGTCTTCGGTGGATGTTCTTCCCCTTAAAAGTTTTTCCCAATTTAAAACAGAATTTCACGCAAACACGTTGCTCTTCAAGATCCTTCATTGTTCAACTTGCAACAAATCGCCAAGTGCACTAAACACACATTCACTCTAGCGTATGTAGCTGGATGACTAATTGAGATGGCGTGATGCAGCTGTGTTAGACTACAGGTCAAGGTCACCGCTACACAGTGCTCCCATAGCAAGCACGCTGCGCCGGCTCGTTGGCGCGCTATTTAAAAAGTTTGGTTTCTTTTTGGACAGATCTTGTACATGGTAACATTATCAAATGGAATGCTGTACTGTTGTACTGTTAGAAGACTGAGAGATTTATGGGTTTGAATACTGTAAAGACACCCAGATAAACATACAGATGCCATGAATAAATATGGAGAAAGAGAAAGCACTGTACACATGCCAAACACACTGCAAATGGTGGGCAAGAAGAAGTTGACTCACTCAGTGAGCAACGAATACATTTCTGTGCAACTGTTCAAGATGGCTGCCTGGGCGCACATGATTTGAATTTTCGATTGGATCATCTTTCGGATAAGCGAGAATCACTTTCGTAAAGTGGAATAAAGTGTAAGAAGAGAATTTTCGCATAAAGATCATTCGAGTAATTAGGAAAAATAAGTAAAATATAAAATATTTCCTTGTTTAATCATACATTATACAAAACAAACATACAAAACATATTATCTTTTACTCATTCTGAACTACATTGAAACATGAGTCAGCAACACAACAGGGTCAATTGGAGTCACCTCCCTGGCAATGGCTATAAATGGCTTGTGAAACTTTTAAAGTAACCTAAATACAAGTTCCTTTTCCTTTCCATAAAATATTTTTGTGGTGTAACATATTTTATTTGCCATGACCATTACCAATGTGACATCCATGTTCTCATCCTGGTGTTGATATTATTATTAATCCTGTTTTTTGCCTGTCACACTGAACATAAATAAGGATGAAGCAAAGTTGCACTTCATGACAAATAACTTAAAAAACTAGAAAAGTAATGAGTAAAACTGACAACCGAAACACTTAAATACATGTAGAACTTGTTTTAAATAATCCTCATCGATGGTGAAATAAAGAGATACATGGCCTTAAAATTATATTGTATTGTGATTATCACAACTTGCAACTTTGCACCACACTAACACAAATTACAGAATTACCGAACATATACATGGAACAATTGATAGGATCATTGTCATTGACTGACCACAAATTAATCAGTCTTTAAATAAAGTACAATGTATGTAGGGATGACACGTCAACCATGTGCTTCTCAGGGTCAATAAGGAAGCCGAATGTGACTGATAATGTATTCGTCAAATCCCTACACACACTTATAAATCATTACAAATAATCAATCAATACATACTGTATACTACTTAACATTATCATACCAAAAGCAAATTGTGACCACTTGTTGGTTGTGAACTTGATTATGAATAATATTTGTACCAGCAAGTCACTCGTGGGTATCAAACAGTGCAGAGGAGACAGGCACACAGACAACTTGTTGGGAGTACAGTTTTATGATCACACGTGTTAATTGGCAAGCTGTAGTTGACTTAGCTGTAAGTTGAGTAATTTTCAGAAGTAGGCACACAAAAACATCTATAATCTTGGTCCACAGACCTTATCATCTGAGACAGTTTATATATCAACAAAAGGCTTGGCAAACCTACGACAGAGTATCACATTCAACACAGAAGTACTTTCAGTGGGCATTAATCATCATTACAACTGTGGATGGACCTATCAGTGCCAGGATATTTCTAGAAGAAAATTTTTTTTATGTGTATACAGTATAATGATGACAACTATGTAAATTTTACTAGACAGAGAGAAAGAGTTCCAGCAGTGATCAAATTTAAGTATAGACTCTATTCAAGGCCATTATCTACTATGGTCAAAAAATATTTTATATGGAATTATATTAAATAGAAACAACAGTTGATATGAAGTGTAAATTTACTATCACGTCCCCACATAAAAATGATGAGTAACACCCAAGATATTACCCCAAAATATCCACTGCAAATAATGAAAATGGCACCTTACTCTGACAGGCAAGGACAGACCATGGGACTTTGGAAGCCACGCGGTGCTACACAACACACAGATACACCCATATAAATGGGGTAGTCATCAGTGCCCTGATGCACACAAGTGTCTCTTGTCCTGTCCTAGCCACCAAGCTACAAACCACATGGCTATAATACTGTCTAGTACACATTCTTCCAGCACATCCGATACAGTGTACATAACCTTACTAAAGTTTCAACTATACTTTTATCTCAATCCGTCACTAGATAGTAAAATAAAAAGAAAAAAGTATTACAGTACTCATTTCCAAACTGAGCCCAGGAGGGGTCCTGCTGCACTTCCTCCAAAGACTTACACACTGGATGGAGACATTGAGCAAAGCAACAACACACAGGAAGAATGCCAGTTTGCCTGGTGAGCGGGCCATGTCCTTCCTGCTGTCCAGTTTACCCGCAGGAGAGGTTTGGCTCGGAGGGTTCAGTTTCAGGGTAGGCAGACACAACACATCCATCTATTAAGTCTTAACACTTCATCCCTACAGATCGTCATATTATTCTTGCATCACCAAAACTCATTTCATGGACATGGCAAACATCAGTATTAACTGACTTGTCACGATCTAACCTAGAACAAAGGCTGGCATACCCAATTCCTTTAAGACGTGAGCTGCGTTCACCTACAGGCAAGTGTTGCATCTTAGCCCTAATCTGGTTTAGAGAAAACTAACAGTAATGGCCACCAGCACCATCCCACTGTGTATCAGTTGTTCCTTTTGTATAAAAATAGAAATGCACAACATCTCTGAAACAACTAACAGAAAAACTTCCCTGGTGTGCAGGATACTATTGACATACCTATATAAAAGCACTCAAATGTTTCAAGTCCTGTTACTCGTGTGTCAAAACTTTAGTAACAACAGACTATAGTACCTCGGTTTTATCCCAATTCCCACTTTAGTACTAAAATTTCCTGGCACAAAGAATGTTTTAATATAAATATATATCGATACGTATTATGGACCCAATGTAGTCATACTGCATTTGAAATCACTTTCCTTGAGTAAACTTTGTTTTTTAATTTATTGAAAATAGCTCATTAACAATGTTGTCTAAGTGCTAAAAATTTTCATACTGCCTATGACTAGAGCATTTGCTATTTTTCTGGATCAATTTGGCATTCACATTATCTTAAGTACAGTTAAGTTTTGTAGTAAATGGTTATTGTATCCAATACATACAGTTTGTTTCTATGGTTCTCATTTTAATATCAGGAATTGGAAACATTAATGGGAAATGTTGCCACATTCAGTAATACTGACTAGATACACATTATAATCTGATCTGTGTATTCCCCATTTTCCTTTAACATACATTTTGTGTTTATTATTTGCATTGGCATGTTCTATAATTCAGTGTTTATAATAAAGTACTTATATAGAATATATAATGTACAAGATATATCAGTCTTCTACAATTTTGATTACATTACCTTCATTCAAAAATATACATGAAAAACTGACGTATATGACAACAATACTACAATTAGCACTCATATTAATCTGATATTAATCTGTTATTATTGAGACAATTACGTAGTTTCATATTTAAGCCGCTTGAATGCTGGGAGAATGCCATCCTCGGACCTGTGATTGGCTGTGCTGTCACCGTTGTAAGCCAAATAGTTGCTGGAATCTGTCTTGTTGCCTCCTAAGCCCTAAAAAGAATAATGCATATAAATTCTAGGGTTAACATTTCAAAAATACCAAGCTTTATTATAATTCACGTTTATGGAGACATTGACTATTCCCAAGTAAATTTGCAATTACAGTCGGCCCTTAACATACGCGGGTTTAGCATACACGGATTTGCAAATACGCGGATTGCCCCGCCGGAGGAATATTCTGTACATTGAAGTAATTGAAGTACATTCAAATCGCGCGCCATTCAACTCGCATGCGGCACCTCACACAGGACACCTCCCGCTCCCGCAACCTCACACACACACGCACAGCTCTCCCTCACTCAGTCAGTCTCGCTGTAACCACGCTTGTGTTGACATCAACATTGTAGTTGCAAAAATATTACATTTCCGTGAATGTATTATATCAAGCACAGTGTGAATAGAATATCACTAATATGAGTATTTTAACCGAAAACTACTAAAAAAACGAGTAAAACATCGGAAGGTTAGGTAAAGTCTTTTGTTTTCATGTAGTTTAACCTAATTTACATTGAAATGCATTACGTTTCAGCAAAACTACTATTTATTTCTGAGAATATGGAAATGTAATATTTTGCTGAAATGACGTACGTATTACAGTGGAAAGTGACAAAAGCAATGACTTTCGCTTTCTTTCGTTCAAAAGATGTTACCGTAATCGTTTTTCGAATGGTTTTCAGTTGTGGGATTATAAGGCTAATAATAGGATAGAATATTATTGTAATACAGTACGAGTACAACAGTTTTTTAACTGAAAACCATTCGAAAAGCGATTACGGTAAAATCTTTTGAATAACGAAAGAAAGCGAAAGTCATTGTTTTCGTCATGATTTTATCCCACTTTCCACTGTAATATGTATGTCATTCCAGCAAAAATATTATATTTCCATATTTATTTCTGAGAATACGTATATTCATTCAGTCACAGTTAAGGTAAAATATACTTGTGATGTAATATTTTAATGAAAATACAGTATCGTAGTTTTCTTTTGTTTCAAATTTAATTAACAAAGATTGATGTTTCAAATGTAATGAACAAAAATTTATGTACAGTATCTATAAATAAACTTTAATAAACGAATTCTTTATGTTTTACATCGTCCTGTGCTACCATACCATGGATTTGGCTTTTGGGCTTGCAATGATGACGCATGAGATCTGCCCTGGCAACTGTACCGACACTCACAGCTGGTGGTGCGTTGGTGTATCGTTTCCATTGTTTACTGGTAGTTACTGATAAATATTTTTCAACCTCATGAACTATTACCCGTTTAGAGGTCGACCCCCAATTTTTTGCCAAATAATTTGGTCTAAAAAACTTGAACTACACACAGGTATATATGGTAAAGAAGGACATGGGGGGGCCAGGGTTTTTTGGGGGCAGTAAAAATACGCCGATTTTTAACATCCACGGGTATCTCTGTTACGTAACCCCCGCGTATGTTAAGGGCCGACTGTAAAGTCCTATTGCATCTTCTGTTGCTTCACAAACCCGGAGATTCAGACTCGTGAATCCGAAGCATTTATGGACTGATTAATGCATCAGTGATTATTGCTTCTGGTTCAAAAGCCTAAATCTCAGGGTTCTTGGAGCAGCAGAAGAGGCCACAGGACTTTGTTCACGACTGTACAACCCATTTTTGCCTCCTTTGACACTGTTCTCTCTCCACATATTTCTCATTTATCTCAGCACATTTTACCCTTCCTTCCATGAATACTCATTGTCTATTCTGCTGACACGTCTACTCACAAGCATCTAAAATACTGTACTTGCTTTAATCACCGAGTCTCCTTTCCATCATTGCATTCATCACTTTTGTTCTGATTAAATACTAATTTTTTCATATATTCTTTTAAACACACTCACTAACACGTAAATTTTTTTCAGAGCTGCCCACTAGAGCAATACATTCGGCAAACAACCACTAACTCATCGCCCAATCACATCCCATTTCTTCAATCACCAAACTTGCACCTCTATCCACTCTTTTTACTACCCCAATCCATAATATCAAACAACCATAGTGGCATAACACATCTTTGACATAATCTAATTTTCACTGTAAATTTTGATCTACATGTCCTCTTCCCTAAACCCATACTGAATTTCCCCTAATACACTCTCTGTTTTTGCTATAAGTACGATGTTCTCCATTATAACTCAACCAATCACTTCTTGGTATACTCAAAAGATTCATTCCTCTATAATTCCTAAATTCAATTACAGTACAGTATATCAGTTTTACCTTCATACAGGAAACTTATACATGCTATCTGCCAATCCTCTGGTCTCCTTCTTTAGTCATAAAAAGCCTGTACAATTTTTCATCCATTCTTTCACTGTTCCATCCCTTAATATTACAATTTCAATGTTGATTCCATTCACTCCAAGTGCCTAATGATTTTGAACTTACAGCCAGTCCCACCCCCTCCTCCTTTATTACATTCTCTCTTCTACTCTCATATTGTGCAATCTATCCCATATAAACATGATAATTCCACCTCTCTCTCTCTTTTCATCTGTTATGTTTACTATTTGTACAAAATATCCTTACCATTTCCCATTTATTTCACCCCTTTCTCTGTAAAATGTCCCTTCTTTCACTCTTAGCTGCCACTGCCACTTATTCTCTTGGTACTCTACCCTCTTAAGCTCCCTCCAGAACAAAATCTTATTTTCTTAAAATCCTTGTAACAAAATTTCCCTCTTTTCATATGTATGTTTTAGAAGATAATGGGATATAGACAGTACAGAAAATGGAATGATGATCTGTGGAAAAAAGGTGTTATTTAAATTGAACCTTAAAATTAGTGTATTACTAACCTGAGATATGACAGCAATAGGGGTGAGACCCAAAGAGGATGCTACCCGATGTTCTACCAAGTAGAACATGTATTCATCATATAAGAGTCGTATGAGATGAAAGGATCCAAAAGAAGCTGCACTGCGTAGGGTGAGGTCTCGAATCACCATAGAACTAGAAAAACAATGCAATTATAAATGAAACAAATTAATGGATTACTATTAAATTTGAGATATTACAGTACTAAATATTTTTAAATATAAAATATCTTATACATTTCTATATACAGTATTTAAGTAAAAATTAAGTTAATCTTATTGAAAAAGAGTACAGTATACTGTACAGTATACTGGTAGTATTAACAGTGTCAAGAATCATTAATTTCTTGACAAACTGATGCTTATGAAAATCAGGCATGGCTTCAATTCTAAAAATTCCAGATATTAAAAAGTTTACAATGCAGACACACACACACACACACACAAAACTCACCTGTAAAAAGACCACTTCAAAAGGAATTGTCGAGCTTGTTTGGGGAAATCCACTTTTCCTTCATGAGGTCGAAGTACTTGTGAAACAACAGCTTGCAACCATTCTGCCCATTGCTCGAGGCTGTTCTGTTGTTGAAGCGTTGATTTAAAATCTTCTTCTAACCGATCCACCAAGCCAACATCACACTGACACACCCATGATGCCTAGAAGAGAGTGAAAAAATGGTGGGGTTTCTGAGGTTACTGACAAACATTATTATGAAATGATACAACCATGTCTTTTTTCTTCAGTATTTCTCACTAATAGTTTCACCTATCTAAAGCAACATGATGAAAAGAGAAACTTTCCTAAAATACTAGTGGCCATACAGGCCTGACACTCACTCAGAATGCAAGCTTGACATATTACTAAATCAAATAATGGAAAACTATGGAAATTATTTTAGCTATTAGACATGTGAAAGCAACTGTTGTCTGCATGTACTGTACTATAAATAAATGAGGCAGTTGTGTTACATAACATAACCAGAGAAAATAAGGACCTATTTTTCAGTGACATAATCCAAGCAGAGGAGCGGAACTTGGAAACAAATAATTTACCAAAATAGAAATGAATGTTCTTACGATTGACTATTTGGAATTCTGTAGCAGACCAGAAAATAATTACAAAATCACCATACAGGATCAATACAAATTTATATTGAGATGCCTTAAGAGTGTGTAATCAAAGAGGAAATGGACTTTTACTTATCAGAGTCAGTACTTTGGACCATTGAATAAAAAATCTAAATTGTCATCTAGTAATAACAAAGATGTTTCGGAAATTTTTCGTCCACTTGGGAACACATGCAATATTTTAAAACAAAATAATAGTCTTTTCCATTTCTAAATATTACTCAAAGTGTCATACAGTAGTCAAAACTCAGGTGTGGTGAGGACATACTGAGAGAATGGGACACTAAAGATAACTCAAAATTTTGAGTGTGTAAAGCACACGTGAGGAGGACAGACACAATTGCACATGAATGATGGGATGGTATGAAGCCAAGTGGTTTTTGTGGAAAGATGTACTGCTGAAAAGAGATGCTGGCTTGTGTGAAGTGTGAAGAGAGGTATTGTATCTGAATTGTGTTGTGGAGGGTAATATCAAAGTATAACACATCTACAACAGCAGTAGGAATGAATGAAAGACAACAGTAAATGAACTGTACAGTAGTTCTGAGTGTGTATTTGTTCTTGAACTACAATCACCAGACAAAGGGATGATGAGACCTTCACACTCAGCCTTGAGAGAAGAATAAAAGGAAACAAAACTTTTACTTGTTACACGGCTATGGAATTACAGTATTCTTAAAAAAAGAAAAACAAAAAGAATATAATAAAGAGTAGGGAGGTCGCATTAATTATATTTCTACCACAGTTAATTATTAGTATTACTGTACATATGAGTTACATTAGACATATATAAAGATGAATGAATTTACTGATTTTTGTTATTAAATATGTAGCATGTATACCTGACATGGTTATTTACTTATTCATCACATTTATTGATAAAGAAAATGTAGGTAAAAAAACAATTTTTTTTATACTCTTTGGTTTAAAGTAAATGATCATTATGAGTGACATAAATATAGCCTGGATTTTTTTTTAGGTTGAAGGATTTAGGCCTTGTGCAAGCTTCATTACACATATGTTCATCAACTCATTTAATTATACGTAACAGAAATATAATTCAAGAGAGACAAAGGAAGGTGCTGCCATCTGCACTGATTCTCTACATACCATCCTCATATAACTCACTGTACTGAGGGCTATGAACCTTGTGATATGAACTGCACATATGGAATTTTTTTAAGACATTGACTTGAATCCTGAAGAACACTCAATACTGTACTCACTTTTCTACTGGAAAAATAAAATTTTAGTGATGATTGTTTCATTATGACAGTCCATTTATCTTCCTCCTCCTTCATCTTATGGCTGCCATTACTGTGTTAAGTTTTCGGACAGATAATGATGCTGTTAAAATGAGTGACAGGCTTAATTCCCAGTCAGGCTCAAAATTCATTTAGTCTGTCATTGCTAAACTTCAATTTATTTTCATTATTAAGGTATTATGAGGAAACATTTAAAAAATTTTCAAATACTGTATTCTACAATTATCATCAACTGAGTCAGCAAAGACGAAGGATGTTTTCTGTACATGCAAATTGAGCTTCCTCCTTAATTTCGATATTCTGTATGACCACGTATTGCAGGGAAAGTCTGGATCAGGTAGTGTTTTAATCTCCAGCCACGAATTTCAATGAGTCTGGATGCAGATTAGATTGGGATGTTGTTGCAATGTTACCAAACCATATATTGCACAGTGAGCTTGTGTCCTAAACCATGATACTCCTAATGACCCTGCCAAAAATATGATATATACTGTACTGTAATCTAATGTTTTCTAGATTTCATTTCTCACCAACATAAAATATTGGTCTAACACAGACTGGACCTGTTGCACCATGGATAAATCTCTGACCTGCAGTATAATTGTCAAAAGTAAAAAAGATTTAATATTTACTCACTTGTTCTTGGACATTGTGAAAGTCCACTCGATTGAGGTCAGCCAACATTTGAGAAATTTGTGATGAGTTTTGGAGCACAGCCCTGGCAGCCTGAGCTAAATGATTTAATGAAGTGTAGCGCCGTAGAGTCTGAGCCAGTGATGCCACAGCTGTTACCTGAATTACAATAACAAGCTTTAAATAAATAAATATGTATTTGTAATAACTCCTATGTGTGATTACTGTACACTACTAATGCAAACAGAAGCACTGTTCAGGGAAAACTTATATTGTCACTTTTTACAATTTAGATGAGTAAACTACACAGTGTATAGAACAAATACTGTACAGTCAGTTCTGCTATAACGCGCTAGTTGTGTTCTTGTAAAACATCGTGTTATAGAAATTCGCGTAATAGAAATAACAGGGCTTATGGAGAAAATAGGGTTAGGTGCAGATTACTACTCGAAATCGAAAAAAATTTAGTAGTTAGCCTAACACAAAGGTTAGCACAGTCTAAATAAATGTTACATTCATATCTAATAATGAAATCATACAGTAAATTTAACACTTTACCTTGAAAGAATATGAATATAACTTGATGGGGGAGACAGGTGATTTTGAGGTTGATAACATCGAGCTTCTCTTCAAGGGTTATAGCCTTTCTTTTATGATCATCACCGGGAATGCGATCACCAGAACGCTTCTTGGAGATATTCTTCTTTACCATATTCACAGTTAATACCACAAAATTGGAGAAATAGTAAGCAAAAATCGCGTTACAGCAAACAAGCGTTCGCGTTATACAAATATCGTTCCTCTATTCATAAATCGCGTTAGAGCCAATTCGCGTTGTCAAAACACGCGTTATAGCAGAACTCGCTGTACAGGTAAATGAGGTTCAAATACATTATGAATTTATTTGAAGTGTGGAAATCATCTTTCTTAACAGCATATCAGAATCTTTAAGAATGAAATGCTTTCATAATACAAAACCTAGTTTCCAATTTAGCAGTACAATAAAAAAGAATACTGTACAGTAATACCCCGCTTTACACGGTTTCACTTTCCGCGATTTCGCATTTACGCAGTACCTCGCCAGAACCGGACTTTCACTTTAAGCGATGCATCTACCCATATACGCGCAGAGTGTCTGGCGCGACGCTATTTTTAGATTCGACCCTCCCGCCTTCTCCCGCTTGGGCAAGTCGCGCGGTAAGGTTGCGCAGTGGATGTCTCTGTTGCGTTATCAGTGACGTCATATGACGTAACGGACTGTGATTGGGCCATGCATCCTTACCTCCCTCCGCTGCTAGCTGTGATTGGTTTAAAGTAATATGACGTGTCCACCCGCGGGAGGGAGGGAAGACGATGCTTGACCTAGCCGCATCAGTTTCATCCCTCCAGGCCACACCGTGTAAACGTGCATCCATTGTTCTGTAAAATGGATTCCGCCGGACCACCGCCCCCAGAGAGAAACCTTGCCTTACCTGGACCCAGCCGCCCTAAGCCAAAGAAGACACGACGTTCCCTAAGCTACGAAGTGAAATACAAGATCATTCAAGATTTGGAGAAAGGAACACGTCAAGCTGATCTCGCGCGCCAGCATGGAGTCAACGAATCTACGATTCGTACTATTAAGAAGGATGCAGCCAAGATCAAAGAACACATGAGAATCAAAAAGTCTGCAGGTGCTTCAATGATCAAGTATTGCCAGAACAAGGTGCTGCTAAAGGTTGGAAATTTGCTGGTGAGTTACTTGATTCGTCAGGCGCGACGCAACATGGCGGTGGACACGCGATCCGTTCAAGACTACGCCCGTGATCTGTACGCAGCAGTGTCACGTAAGATGGGAATTGCAGAGCCCAAACCCTTCAATGCTTCCTCTGGTTGGCTGCATAGGTTTAAGAAGAGGAACAAGATTACCAACATCAACATTGGTGGTGAAGAAGCGAGTGCTGACCGTGTGGCGGCTAGAGATTTTCCTCCGTTCTTACGTGAGGTTATGGAGGAAGGACAGTACACCGACGACCAGGTGTTCAACATGGACGAATCCGGTCTATTTTGGAAAAAGCTGCCTACCAAGACCTTCGTTGTCCAGTCTGCCAGCAAGATTCGGGGCCGGAAGTTGCAGAAGGAGCGCATCACCGTCCTCTTTACCACCAATGCCTCCGGTACCTGTAAACTCAAGTTATCGGTGATCCACACAGCCCGCACGCCTACAAGAACGTGGACATGAGCAAGATTAATGTCCACTGACTGACCTCACGTAAGGCGTGGATGTTCTCTGCTCTGTCACTCTCCTGGTTTGATGACTGTTTCGTTCCCGACGTGAAGAAATTTTGCGAGCAACAGAATGTTCCATTCAACATTCTGTTGCTCCTTGACAACGCAACAGGGCACTCGCCACTACTTATGGATCGTCACCCCAACGTAAAAGTGGTCTTCCTTCCTCCCAACACTACGGCATTAATCCAGCCCATGGACCAGGAGTTGATATGCAATGTGAAAGCTGTATACTCTGCAAAGAAGTTTAAGCTCCTGAACGACTGTACCAACACCAAGGATGAGTTGCATAAGCTGGGTGACACCGATAGCGAGAGCAAAAGTGACGAGGACAAGAAACAACAGGTGGTGAATCAAGAAGTTCTTGTCAAACAGTTTTGGAAAAAATTTAACGTCAAACAAGCTGTGGACTTCTTGGTGGAGGCATGGGATCAGCTGTCTGTAGCTACGATTCGTCACGCATGGAGGCATGTGTTGCAGGGTATCCCAGGTGAGAGGCGGAGTCAACCTGTGATGGGTGAGGTTCAGTCTGTTACAGTGGCATTGGACCTTGCAAGAGAAGTTGCGCACAGTATTACAGCTGAAGGCTTCTCCGAGACCACCAACGAAGACATCCTGGAGGTGATCAGAAATTCTGAAATGACTGCCAACGAGATGTTGGAAGATGATCACGTCAGTGAAGAGGCAGGTGGTGCGTCAACCCCAGAAGAACACAAGTTAATGCATAGTAATGTTAAGGGTGCCATCGAGTGTGCAAAGAAATTGAAGCTCTTCCTTTCCAACGACCATGACGATGACAGCTATGAAGTCATCCATACCCGGCTGGTGCAGGCTATGGAGCCGTACATCAAGGTGTATCAAGACAACATCAACACTAGCCGTCAAAAAACATTACCGAGTTCTTCGCCCGCAACCCACCACAGCCAGCCCGAGCCAGTGATAGTGACAGTGACAGTGAAGGTGACTTTGAGGGATTTGTCAGGGAGGCCCTGACAACTATGGCAGATAGTGATGGTGATTCACCTGAGGGCCAGTAATCTGCCCTCTGCCTCGGAACCAGCCTCCATCCCCGTATGCCGACCCATCTCTTCTACATTACTGCCCTCTGCCTCGGAACCAGCCTCCATCCCCGTATGCCGACCCATCTCTTCTACTAACGTAAGTGTTAAACCTAACCTTTATTTTTCCGAACCTAACCTTAATTTTTCCTAACCTAACCTCTTCTATATTAATTGTGTGTGCATACCATCATAAAGTTAAGATAATATTTTTACTACAACATAGTTTTGTATCGTCAAAAAGTGGAGTTTGGGGGTCGGGCCAGTCTCTATTGGAATTAATCCCATATGTTCTGTTGTTCACTTTACGCGGTTTTCACTTTCCGCAATATCCTGTGGGTTCAATTGACCGCGTAAATCAGGGTACTACTGTACTATATTTGTTTTGTTTCGGCAATTTCAATTCTTAAGTTCTGATTTAGCAGATCAGTCGTCTGATGCCTCATAATTTTTTTAATGCTATGCCCTACAAAATCTTTGTTTAAACCATCTTTTCATCCTAATCTTAGTAATGCATAACCCTTGTTATATAAGTACCTTAATATTTACTACTTCTGATGGGCAGCCAAACATTGCACTTGACAACCAGGACTCGAGGCTTTTGGCAAAGTTTCTGATAGCTTGAGTAAGGCTGGAGGGGATAGATCGTAGCACATCTGGTATTAACACTTCCACAAGGTTCTGGTAGAACTGATAGTCAAAATTGCGCATAAACTCTAGTATTGGTGGAGCACGTAACAGGGCCTGAAACAGAGAAACTTAAAAGTTATCTAATATTTTCTTGGTGACAATTACTACAGCATATACAGAATATATAACAAAGGTTAAGTATATAATTAAATATACACAATGCATAACAAGCTGTTAACTTTGTAAAACTGATAAGGCAAGATTTAAAAGAGAATGTCATGATACTTTCTTTTACTCAAATTTGGGTATCCTTAGGTACGAATAAATAAATGTTGCAATATTCTAAATAATTATTGTAACATTCATAAACACTAATCTCAGATGCAGAGCTGTAATATTCTGAAGCACCTCCTAAACAACCTCTTGACAAACCTCACCTGAAGGACAGATGACGGTAAGAGTGATGCCAAGTCTCCATCATCATCATCAGACACTTCACTAGATGATGATTTGGCCACGTTAGTAACAGTGTTGTTATTGTTTATCGTCCAGAATCGTCTCCATAATCTTTCCACCCCTGAAAACTGTCAAGCACAAAGAGAAGACTTAGTAATAGTACCGAAAAATTCTGAAATAAGGTTTAAGGAAAATGTTATCAAATTTCCTTTCATATTGTTAAATCTAAAACTTCAGGGCTTAACAGTACAGTACCTGGAGAGTATATACAGCTTCCAAAATAGTTTCACAATGCTCCTTGTATAATACAGTAAATGTGTGCAGGTGAGATCTTGTCACCCCTGCTGGTAGTGGCGTTGTTCCAAAGTCTACCTGCCCAAATATAGGCACAGCTTGGCTAATATCACCAAGATACTGTTGGTTTTGAAGTGTCTGTAAAATAAAGAATATATATATATATATATATATATATATATATATATATATATATATATATATATATATATATATATATATATATACAGATAGACCCCGACTTACGACGGGGTTAGGGACCCAAATCCAGGTCGTAAGTTCGACATGGCCGTAAGTCCGACATAGATAATTTTTTTTAAATAAATAATCTACAATGAAATACAGTACAGTAAAAGTAATGAATAATGATGAATGGATACAGTACAGTGAAAGTAATAAATAATAAGGAATGGATACAGTGTGACTGAGCACTTAACCTTTAATGTAGTCAGCTGAATGCACATGGGGCCCCCATAATTTTCTAATTATACATGGAGACTACATTAACTGGAAACGTTTCGGTATAGAAAATGCGTGTCATTTGAAGAAATTTTTTTTTTTTTAATAAAAAATCTGAGGCGGTCGTAAGTCCCGACGGTCGTAAGTCCACGTAGTCGTAAGTCGGGGTCTAGGTGTGTGTGTGTATATATATATATATATATATATATATATATATATATATATATATATATATATATATATATATATATATATATATATATATATATATATATATATATATATATATATATATATATATATATATATATATATATATATATATATATATATATATATATATATATATATATATATATATATATATATATATATATATATATATATATATATACATATTATCATTTTCGACTTACGACCTGGATTTGGGTACCTAACCCCGTCGTAAGTCGAGGAGTGGCTGTTATACAGTATATACAGCTACTCCTCGACTTACGACATACTCGACCTACGACCGCCCGCACATACGACCTGCCTCAGTCGGTACGACCACCCGCACATGCAACCGCCGCAGTCGGTACCAAATTTTTTTTCAAATGACGCGCGTATTTTTTAGACTGAAACGTTTCCGTCCCGTACGAGACGTCGCGTGGGCTGGGTCGCCTCGTGGCTACAGCACCCATGCCGTAGAGCGCTCAGTTGGTGTTTGGCTGTCGTTGTTGTCGATAGTGATCGCACTGTGTACTGACATTATTTTTGTATCTAATTCACTTTAGAATGACTGGCAAGCGTAGAAGTGAGAGTGCTGGTGGTGCTCAGAAGAAAAGGAGACAGTCAATTACTTTTGAGATGAAAATGAAGATAATAATGCAGTATGAAAATGGAAATACAGTAGCAACCATTTCACGCGACCTAGGCTTCTCGCACTCGACCATATCTACTATTTTGAAGGACAAGGAACGTGTTCATGAGGTAGTGACAGGATCAGCACCTATAAAGGGAACTATAATAACGAAGAAAAGACAAGGTCCTATTCATGAGATGGAAAAATTACTTGTGGTGTGGAGGGAAGATCAGATACAAAAGCGTGTACCCTTAAGCCTTCTAACCCTACAGGCTAAGGCAAGAAGCCTTTTCGAAAGCCTGAAGGAGCAGGCAGGAGATGAGTGCGACCAAACCTTCAGAGCAAGTCATGGGTTGTTCCAAAGGTTTAAGAACCGCTATAGTTTGCATAGTGTAATGGTGAGTGGAGAGGCAGCAAGTGCTGATGTGGGTGCTGCCGAAGCTCTTAAGGGGGAGCTAGATCGTGTCATTGTGGAGGGAAATTATTTGCCTGAGCAAATATTTAATGTGGATGATGTAGGTTATGTATCTAAGCTACTGTGCCGAGTAGCAACCTTGTATATAAGCTACTGTGCCGAGTAGCACCTATGTATATAACTACGTGGCATCACTGCACGTGTTATGTGGCAACATTGCCCCGAGGCTGCCATATAGCAAGGCAGTCTCAGTCTGACTCTGTGGGCCGTGCATGGCACACGCAAGTCACCACTTGTATTTCTCCTATCCGTAAATATATGGACTTCAGTGTTACCCGGTGTTTCCCTACCCATCACTGCTTTCTTCAGGGAACACTTGGAACCTTCAGATGAAACTGGCTTATTATGGAAGCGCATGCCTGAACGGACATACATCCACAAAGAGGCAAAAACAATGCCAGGATTCAAGGACCGAATTACACTTCTGTAGGGAGGGAATGTAGCTGGTTTCAAGATAAAGCCCTTCATGAAATATCATTCAGAGAACCCAAGCAAGCACACACTGCCAGTGTTTTATCGAAGTAACAAGAAAGCATTGATGACCCTAGTACTGTTTGAGGATTGGTTCATGACTTGTTTCATTCCACGAGCCAAGGAGTATTGTCTGCAACAAGGGATTGCATTCAAGATTTTGTTAATTTTGGATAATGCTCCGGGACACCCACCACACCTGGACGACATGCACCCTGATGTTAAGGTAGTCTACATTCCACCTAACACTACCTCTATCATCTAACCCATGGATCAAGGTGCTATTGCTGCTTTTAAAGCGAATTATTTACGTACGACCTTCGCTCAGGCTGTTGCTGCTACTGAAGGTGAGAAAATGCTCAGAGAGTTTTGGAAGGACTACAACATTTTGAAATGTATAAAGAACATTAGTGCAGCATGGGATGAGGTTACAAGTCAGTGCATGAATGGAATATGGAAGAAAGTCCTGAAAAGATATGTAAACAGTCAGAGGATTTAATGAAGATGTAGTAATTTCTGAGATTAGTAACAAGATAGTGGAGTTGGGTAAACAGCTTGAGTTAAAAATTGATAATGAAGATGTTGAGCAGTTGGTTGAAAGTGTAGCAGGAGAGCTAAGTAACGAGGATTTTATTGAACTGGAAGCACAAAAAAATGCAGAGGAAGAAGAGAGTCAAAATGTAGAAGAAGAACCTGCACCCCACAAAAAATTTTCAGTGAAGCAAATGGCAGAGGTATTTGCTACAATTAATAAGGGGATGCAAATGTTTAACGTAATGGATCAAAATGTTGAGTGTTTTGCCAAAGTTGACAGAATGGTCCAAGATGCACTTGCTTGCTACAGGAAGATTTATAATAAAAAGAAAAAGCAAACTGTGCAGTCTAAATTGGACATACATTTTAAGAAGTCCCCCATTGCTGTCTCCTCACGCCCCACCAGTGCTGCCTCTTCACTCCCTAAAGATGATCCAATACCTTCAACCAGCAAGTTTCCCCTGTACATAAACCTGTCTGAAGAAAGCGACATTGATGACCCACCCAGCCTTATCTCCTCCTCTGCTTCATCCAGTTAATGTAGTCTCCATGTATAATTAGAAAATTATGGGGACCCCGTGTGCATTCAGCTGACTACATTAAAGGTAACTGCACAGTAACACTGTATCCATTCTTCATTATTGATTACTTTTACTGTACAGTACTTTATTTCATTTTAGATTTTCTATGCATTATTTTTTGCATTTTCGACTTACGACCTGGATTTGAGTCCCTAACCCCGTCGTAAGTCGGGGAGCAGCTGTATATTATATATACAGTGTATATACTGCACATTATATATTCAGTATATACTATATAAACTGTATATATATATATATATATATATATATATATATATATATATATATATATATATATATATATATATATATATATATATATATATATATATATATATATATATATATATATATATATATATATATATATATATATATATATATATAGTATTTTCTATATGTATAATATATATATATATATATATATATATATATATATATATATATATGCAGTCAACCTTCGCTTTACGCGGTCCCACATTCCGCGTTTCCACGTTTACGCGGTACCCTGCCAAAACAGGAATGCTCACATTCCGCGGTGCGTGTACCCCTTTACGCGGAGAGCGGCTGGCGAGCCGCGCCATTTTTGGATCCAAACCTCCCGCCATCCGCCATGTTGTGTAAGCGGCGCGAGCATGGTGCGCACAAGGTCGCCCAATCATCAAAACATTACCTAGTTCTGCACCCGCCACCCACCACAGCCAGCCCAAGTCAGTGATAGTGATAATTATAGTGAGGATATGGACTTATATGGACTTTGAGGGGTTTGACAAAGAGGCCCTGCAAGCCTCTGTGGTGGATAGTGATACAATTGATACAGGTGAGGGCCAATAATCTGCCCTCTGCCTCGGAACCAACCGCCCATCCCCGTGTGCCCCAGCCATCTTATCTACTAATGTAAGTGTTAAAAAACCTAATATTGATATTTCTCTTAATTATTAATTGTGTGTGCATACCATCATAAAGTTAAGATAATATTTTTACTACAACATAGTTGTGTGTCGTCAAAAAGTGGAGTTTGGGGATCGGCCCGGACTCCATTTCAATTAATCCCATATGTTATGTTATTCACTTTACGCGTTTCTCACTTTACGCGGGACCCTCCGGGTTACATTAACCGCGTAAAGTGAGGTTGACTATATATATATATATATATATATATATATATATATATATATATATATATATATATATATATATATATATATATATATATATATATATATATATATATATATATATATATATATATATATATATATATATATGAATATATAATATACAGTGATAGTTCGCGCCACCTGGTTAAATACGCGGATTGCCCCGCCGGAGGAATATTCTGTACAATGAAGTTATTGAAGTACATTCAAATCGCGCACCATTCAACTTGCGCACGGCACCGAACACGGGACACCGCCAGCTCCCGCAACCTCACACACACACGCATAGCTCTCCCTCACTCAGTCAGTCTCGCTGTAACCACGCTTGTGTTGACATCAGCATTGTAATTGCAAAAATATTACATTTCCATGAATGTACTATATCAAGCACAGTATGAATAGAATATCACTTATATACATTGACCCCTCCGTTAACGAACTCAATCCGTTCCAGAAGGTCGTTCGTTAACCGAAACCATTGTTTCAATGGGTTTTTGGGTAATTGGTTCCAGCTCACCGAAAATTTCCTAAATTCAACAAAAATGGTAGAAAAGTTCACTTACTTTGAGGTGTGTATGTAGAAGGCTCCTGGATGATGATGATGATGATGATGGGATTTAGAATCGGGGTGGAGGAGAAGAAAAAAGAGAAGGCATTGGGGTGGAAGAGAAGTCACCCCATGGCGCCATTTCACCCATAAAATTTTAGCTCTCTTGGTGTAATTCAATATTATTTTCTTTAATTCAACACTGCACTGCATTATATATTGTCAATATGTAAAATATATTTCAAAATGACCAATAATTTGCTTGGAAACACAGAAAAAAAGCGTTTAGTTGAAGAAAGTCTCAAGCAAGATGTTACCTCCAGTGAAAACAGAGAGAGACTAACTCCTGTTTGCTGTGTTAAGAGGCTGGATGCCGCGCATTAAACTAGTCACTTTACCTTCAGTTATGTTCAATAATTGTTAAAATGACTAAAAAATTGAATATTAAACTTAAAATTATTGAATAGTATAAACTTCTTGATATTTACTAAAATAGTAAGGAATTTAAGCCCTAGAACCGATTAATGTATTGGCGGACTGATACTAAAGCTGGTTGCCTGGTCAGTGCAAGCGAAAACATGTTGAGGTCGGTTCGTAAGAACTTCGTTAACCAAATTTTTTTTCGTTAACCGAATTGAAGATCCTTATGGAAGGCAGTTCGTTAATCAAAATTACGTTAACCGAGGTGTTCGTTAAACGAGGGGTCACTGTAACAGTATTTTAACCGAAAACTATTAAAAAAACGAGTAACATATCTTGAACATCGGAAGGTTAGGTAAAGTATTTTGTTTTCATGTAGTTTATCCTAATTTACATTGAAATACATTACATTTCAGCAAAACTACTATTTATTTCTGAGAATATGGAAGTGTAATATTTTTGCTGAAATGACATACGTATTACGTAATACAGTACGGTACAACAGTGTTTTAACTGAAAACCATTCGAAAAGCGATTACAGTAAAATCTTTTGAACAACGAAAGAAAGCGAAAGTCATTGTTTTCGTCATGATTTTATCCCACTTTCCACTGTAATATGTACGTCATTTCAGCCAAAATATTACATTTCCATATTTATTTAGTCACAGTTAAGGGAAAATATACTTGTGATGTAATATTTTAATGAAAATACGGTATCGTAGTTTTCTTTTGTTTCACATTTAATTAACAAAGATTGATGTTTCAAATGTAATGAACAAAAATTTACGTACAGTATCTATAAATAAACTTTAAAAAATTAATACTTTATGTTTTACATCGTCCTGTGCTACCATACCATGTATTTGGCTACTTTGGGCTTGCCATGATGATGCAAGAGATCTGCCCTGGCAACTGTACCGACACTCACAGCTGGTGGTGCGTTGTTTCCATTGTTTACTGGTAGTTACTGGTAAATATTCTTCAACCTAACGAAACTATTACCCGTTTAGAGGTCGACCCCCAATTTTTTGCCAAATAATTTGTTCTTAAAAAGTCGAACTACACACAGGTATATACGGTAAATAAGGACATGGGGGTCAGGGGTTTTTTAGAGGGGGGGGGCAGCAAAAGTACACGGATTTTTAACATTCACAGGTTTGATGGGTGTATTGGGTGATGGACGTTCATGGGTGTGTTGGGTGATGGGTGAGTCGGCTGATGGATGAAGTTGGTTGATGGGTGTGTTGGGTGATGGATGAGTTGGGCGATGGATGAAGTTGATTGATGGGTGTGATGGGTGTTTTGGGTGATGGGTGAGTTGGATGATGGGTGAGTTGGGTTATGGATGAGTTGGTTGATGGGTGTGTTGGGTGATGGGTGAGTTGGGTGATGGATGTGTTCGGTGAAGATTTGGGTAATTGGTTCCAGCTCACCGAAAATTGCCTAAAATCAACAAAAAAGGTAGTAAAGTACACTTACTTTGAGGTGTGTATGTAGAAGGCTCCTGGATGATGATGATGATGATGGGAATTAGAATGGGGGTGGAGGAGAAGGGAGAAGAGAAGTCATTGGGGTGGAAGAGAAGTCACCCCATGGTGCCATTTCACCCATAAAATTTGAGTTCTCTTGGTGTAATTCAAGATTATTTTCTTTAAATCAACACTGCACTGCATTATATACGGTATTGTCAATATGTAAATTAAATTTCAAATTGACCAATAATTTGCTTGGAAACACAGAAAAAAGCATTTAGTTGAAGAGAGTCTCAAGCAAGATGTTACCTCCACTGAAAAGACACCTGTATGGTGTGCTGACAGGCTGTATGGCGGGCAAAAAACTAGCTTCCTATACTTCAATTTTGTTCAATAATTGTTAAAATGACTAAAAAAATTAATATAAAACTTCTAAAATTATTGAATAGTATAAACTTCTTGATATTTACTAAAATAGTAAGGAATTTAAGCCCTAGAACCGATTACTGTATTGGCGGAGTAATACTACAGCTGGTGGACCGCCAAATGCAAGCGAAAACATGTTGAGATCGGCTCGTAAAAAACCCGTTAATAGAGGGATTGCTCGTTAACCGAAGTTAAAAATCTTATGGAAGGTAACTCGTTAACCGAAATCTTGTTAACCGAAGCACTCGTTAACCGAGGGATTATATATATATATATATATATATATATATATATATATATATATATATATATATATATATATATATATATATATATATATATATATATATATATATATATATAAATCAAGGTATGCTGATAACCTCAAGGAAACAAGAAAACACGAAGTTCCCAAGCGCTTTCGTGTAATTCACATCTTCAGGGGTGAGTACAGACCCCTGAAGATGTGAATTACACAAAAGCACTTGGGAACTTCATGTTTTCTTGTTTCCTTGTGGTTATCAGCATATACAGTACTGTATATAAATGAATAAAAATAAAGAATTACTAATTTAAAAAAAACTGTACTTTCATTTGAAACTTGCATGATATTAACTCATGTCTAATTGTTTCCACAAATCATGAAAGCACAATTCTGTTACAAATAATTTCAGTAAAGTATTACGAGTTGTTGACAAATACTGACCCTGTGGATATTATGGTGTAAGGACTTGGCTTGTATAGTTACCTGTGGAGAAGCCTCAGCAGGAACTTGAGTATGTGAATCATAGTGGGTGTCACTGTTCTTCTGCATGCTTGAAGTCACACCCTTGCCTTGTTGATTTTGTATCCCATTACCCTGTTGCTGATGTTGCTGCTGAGTTTGCTGCTGGTTGCCCTTCTTGCCGTTGGTTGCTGAGGACTGTTGTCGCAATGAGACAGGACTGCCATCGTCGTTTACATTAATGAGTTGTGACGTGGGCTTGACACGGATGCCATAATAATGATATTTACTATTACCCCTGAAAAAAAAAATTATAATCCACATTTGATGAAGAATGGGGTGCATAGTACTGATTGACTTTTTGTCTTTCCCCAGGGACCCAAGGCAAACTGTGCCTGGGTCCTTCTTTTTCCTTTCCCTGAAGACCAGACGTTTTGCCTAAGCCTCTTTGTCTCTGGTAATTGCGATTATCTAAGATACATACAAACATTTATTTCCTTGTGAAAAGTTCCATTTTGCATGACCATGATAGGGTGTTTGTGTCGGTGTTCCCCGGGTAAATCAAGGGCTTACTGTACCCTAATATAAAAACAAAATTTAATGGGATCTGGATTACAGGAGACAACTGTACAATGGGTTTTAACCTCTGACCTGAAGAAGCCTTACCTGTCCCTAAGATAGTTAACTGAAAGAAACACCCTACCTGGATTGTGTCCTGCTGTTAAACATACCATGACACTTAGAAAAACAGGCTCTACTGGAAGGGCAATTTATTTATATAAATCTTGCAGGTCACTTATTTATGCCTCATACATTATGCCACAGTTGTAAGGTACAGTATATAATAAGGAAAAGATACACAAGTTATTGGTATTGTGGCATCACAATCAGTACAAAAAAACAGTACTGAGCTAGCAGTGTGTGTTCCTGAGAGATTTAGAAGGAGCACATACCTAGTGCCGAGGCGGCGGGTACGGAGGCCAAGGAACACACTGCGGATGAGCTTGCCGAAAGAGGCAGCATTGACGGGGTCGAGCTTGTGATCAGCACAGTGACGGAGGTAGTGGTTGTAAAGGGTTGATCGTGGCAGACTAACGCCCTCAGCTGTTTCGTAGTTGTCCATCAACCATTGAACCTGACACACCAATGAACAAACTTTAAATCATAATTGCCAAACATTATGGAGAATTCTAAGATAAAATCAACTCTCTCTGGCTAAATAAATCTACATACTATTCCATGGAAAGAACAACAGTACTGTCTATAAAAATGCCAGGAACATAAATACAGTACAGTACAGTACTATAAATCTTTACTACATGATACAGCAATGTTTCAAAATTACTTTATTATATTTGTAAAGGATTGAAACATGAGAATACATATACACTACGTACTGTACAATAATCTTAACTACAATACGACTGGTAGTTTAAAATTCCATATTCCTATTAGAAAAACATAAATTGTACTTCTTTTAAATTACTTGGATGAAGTTGGGTGATAGATAAAGTTGAGTGGTGGGTGAGTTGAGTGGTGGGTGAGTTGAGAGAAGGGTGTGTTAGGTGATGGCTGTGTTGGGTGATGGGTGAGTTGGGTGAGTTGGTTTATGGATGAAGTTGGTTGATGGGTGTGTTGGATGATGATTGAGTAGGTTTGATGGATGAAGTTGGTTGATGGATGTGTTGGGTGATGGGTGAGTTGGGTGATGGATGTGTTGGGTGATGGATGTGTTGGGTGATGGATGTTTTGGGTGATGGTTGTGTTGGGTGATGGATGAAGTTGGGTGATGGGTGTGTTGGTTGGTGGGTGTGTTGGTTGGTGGGTGAGTTGGATAATGGGTGTGTTGGGTGAGTGGGTGTGTTGGCTGATGGATGTGTTGGGTGATGGATGTAATGGGTGATGGATGTATTGGAGTGATGGTGATGGATGAAATTGGGTGATGGTGAGTTGGGTGATGGGTGAGTTGGGTGATGGGTGTGTTCGGTGATGGGTGAGTTGGGTGATGGATGTGTTGGGTGGATGAAGTTGGGTGATGGGTGAGTTCCGGTGATGGGTGAGTTGGGTGATGGGTATGTTGTGTTGGCTGATGGGTTAGTTAGGTGATGGTGTATTTGGTCGATGAATGAAGTTGGGTGATGGGTGTGCTGGTGATGCGTGTGTTGGAAGCAGATGAAGTTACAGGAAGGTCAGCAGGGGAAGGGTCAATGGGGAGGGTCAGTAGGGGAGGTGGCAGGGGAAGGGTCAGTAGAGGGGTCCAGTAGAGGAGGGGGTCAGCAGGGAGGGTCAGCAGGGAGAGGTCAGCAGGGGAGAGGTCAGCAGGGAAGGGGGTGGCAGGGGAAGTTGTCAGCAGGGGAAGTTGTCAGCAGGGAGGGGGTCAGCAGAAGTTGTCATGGGGAAGGGGTCAGCAGAAGTTGTCAGCAGGGAAGGGTCCATGGGGAAGGGTCAACAGAAGGGTCAGCAGGGGAAGTTGTCAGCAGGGGAAGGGGTCAGCAGAAGTTGTCAGCAGGGAAGGGGTCAGCAGAAGTTGTCAGCAGAAAGGTCAGCAGGGAAGGTCAGCTAAATGATGAATGAGATAGAAGGGGGCCCGGACGGGCGGGTCACCAGTGGCGGGGGAGATGCGGGTGGCGTGGGCTAGGTTGGCCTGGGCGTCATTGTCGAGGGTGGGCGTGCTGCCGCTTACCATGTAGGTGACGCCCTCATCCTGTTTGGGTGGAGGACGCACGCCCATGGTGGAGGAGGAGGAGGCAGTCAGTGGGTGGTGGTGGTGGTGCGAGGGGGAGCCGGACCAGCGGTGACAAGGCACACACAAGAGTGCAGCACACAGGCAGGCAGACAGGCAGGCAACAGGCGGAAGAATCAATCACCATAGTTAATATCATCACCAATCAACACTAACACACCTATACCGTCACTCACACACACACACACACACACACACACACACATACAAATGAATGCTTGCATCTTCAAAAAGATACAGGCAATCATTTTTATGCATATTAAATAAACACATACACATTTAGTACACAAACAAGCACTGTCACACCGGTAAAGATTGGCCACATTCAGCCTGTGCAAATATAACTTCCTGGAATCTTTTTCATAAATAATCGGAACAATTCTCAATGCATTTAATACACACACACGCAGGCAAATACGAACGTGAGACATCAATCGTGGGTGATTAAATACAATAACACAGGTCACTCGCAAATTTACACACACACACACACAAACACGCACGCACGCACGCACGCACACACACACACACAACACACACACACACACACACACACACACACACACACACACACACTTCATAAAAAATTACAAAATATAGAATAATCACAGTACACTAACTTATGGCTCTACTTTCACTCACTACCACCTTGCATCAAGTGGCGGTGTAGTGGAGGCCAAGTGGAGCGGCGCCAAGGGAAGATACAATCCTTGAGGGGCATGTTTGATGAGCGTGTGAGAAGAGGGCGACGCTAGTTGAGATCGGGGCGAGGGGCGCTCACTCTTTGGTTAATTATTCAGGAGGCAGGACAAAAATATCGATTGAGGGTTGCCCCGGTGGTAGCCACACCAACAAACAGGCAGTTGCCGGGCAGCGAGGGGCGTTGCTATAGCTACTACACCCTCCACCTCACTACGGCTCCTCCTTCACTCACGCCGACATATCGTGACTCTATCCAACCTACCAGTCTAATATGATATTTTCCTGTCTGTCTGTCCGCCCTTTCCCTCGGCACCTAATTAGTGGCGCAACACTTACCTACAGACCTATTACTAATCCTCGACAGTAACAAAACCACGTCGAGTAGCAGTCCATCGCCTACCTCACCACTACACCAATGTTCATTGAATTAGCAGCATTGTGTACAGTAGTTAGTTCAACTCGTGCGCCAGCAGCAATTTGTGTGTTAGAAACCCGTTTAAAATAATGATGAATAATACCTCCAAATTTATGACAAGTAGAGGGAAGATAAAACTGAATCAATCTAAGACAATTAAACCCACATGTAATTAAAAATTTACACAAAAACAGCTTTCCAAAGGTTGACGTTCATAGTGAGAATCTTTCCCAGCCTCAGGAGCCAAATTAAGCTGCACCGAGCATCTAAGTCTGACTGGCAGCATCCGGGGGTTTTCATCCTAAGACACGAAAAAGGAACCGAGAGAGCACCACCACCTACTGCTACCTGCTACACCCGACACCCACAACACCTTACCAAGATAGACCCGGGATTACCCCCACCCCCCCCCCCCAAAAAAAAAATCGTACACTAAATTAACCAAAACTGTAGATAAAAATACGCACCAAATTCCAGGAGAATCTCATTGCTATTTTCACGTCATATAAGCAGGTGCAATTTTGTGTCGCAGCTTCAGTGAAGCAGTTAGATATCTTCCTACATCTATTACCGGGGGAAACATAACGTGTGAACCTTCCAGCTGTTAATCTTTGAGCCTATGAACCTTCGAGCCTATGAACCTTCGAGCTGTGAACCTTTGAGCCTTTGAACCTTCGAGCTGTGAACCTTTGAGCCTATGAACCTTCGAACTGTGAACCTTAGAGCCTGAACCGCTGAGCTGTAGACCTTTGAGCCTTTGAACCTTCGAGCTGTGAACCTTTGAGCCTATAAGACCTTCAGGCTGTAGACCTTCTGAGTTGTGAACCTTTGAGCCTATGAACCTTCGAGCTGTGAACCTTTTGGGCCCCAGACCTTCAGGCTGCTTGAACGCGGGGCACTTTGAACCTTCAGGCTGTGAACCTTTGGGCCTATGAACCTTCAGGCTGTGAACCTTTGAGCCTATGAACCTTCAGGCTGTGAACCTTTGGGCCTTTGAACTGAGCTGTGAACCTTTGAGCCTATGAACCTTCAAGGCTGTGAACTTTAGAGCCTATGAACCTTCCAGGCTGTGAACCTTTGAGCCTATGAACCTTCCCAGGCTGTGAACTTTAGAGCCTATGAACCTTCGAGACTGTGAACCTTTGAGCCTATGAACCTTCGAGCTGTGAACCTTTGAGCCTATGAACCTTCGAGCTGTGAACTTTAGAGCCTATGAACCTTCGAGCTGTGAACCTTTGAGCCTATGAACCTTCGAGCTGTGAACTTTAGAGCCTATGAACCTTCGAGCTGTGAACCTTTGAGCCTATGAACCTTCGAGCTGTGAACCTTTGAGCCTATGAACCTTCGAGCTGTGAACCTTTGAGCCTTTGAACCTTTGAACCTTCGAGCTGTGAACCTTTGAGCCTATGAACCTTCGAGCTGTGAACCTTTGAGCCTATGAGCCTTCGAGAACCCAGACTCTGTTGGTTAACCACAATTATTTAAGTGACGAGTAATTACCAATCGGGGAAGGATTCGTTAATTGTGGGAGTTGCTTTCTATCCAGCAATATTTAACGTTAGAAATGCAATGCAACATGCTTAATGATGAATAAATTATAGTATCAAAATAATTCAGTAGCACTAAAACACCAAAAAAGGGGTTAAAAAGTAGATTAAAAACTAAATCCGTTAATTTAGCACCAGTTATAGGATAAAAATAACGTTTAAAATTCTTCGTGAATCCAGACAGACCGAGAAATGCAACAAGTCAAGGCCACCCAACCATTTTCGTCTCCCCTAGACACCGAAAACGCTCACCCCGAACCATTTTGAATACTGCGTTTGTCCTCATAAGATTTATTACCGTCTCCTTACAACTATACCTCAGCCATCCTTTCCTTACTCGTTTTACTTAATATTAGGCTGATACATTTTTTTCATGTTTCCTTAAAATTATCAAATTGTGGGTACTTATCATCTTCAGTTTTGTTTTTACCGTTCACGTGTAATGGGTCACTCGGTACACAGTGTTTCAGTATATGTTTTTCATTGTTCATCTCTTTTGTTTATCACTTCTCTTCAGTAAGTACCCCAACAATAACACGCACACACACACACAGTACCACCACTACTATTATCATCACCACCACCAATGCTACACTACTACCACCATCGCCACTACTACCACTACCACACTACCACCACCACACCAATAACACACACACATGCTTCACTCTCCACAAACCATCAAAAAGATTAATGCAGATGTACAATTGATAAGGATAACCTTTTTATAAATAAACATATTATCAATAAAAGATATTCTGATTACACACATACATACAAACACACACACACACACACACACACACACACGAAAATATAAACATCGGAAAAGAGGTCAATTATGGCGTGGTATAAATTTTACATGATAGGTGAATGACACAGAACGTTGCCTTGTTTCAGAGTACAGTACAGTGTGTTGAGGTGTCAGTTGGCGGTGGTGGTTCTTCGTGAGTGTGTGAGAGGGGTGTAAGTGGCATGGTAAGTCTGTACATTGGATACGCCGCTGTCGTCGACGATAACACACACACACACACACACACTTGTAAAACTTTGCCGTAATTCACTGTACAAGTTTGCTCTAATAGTCGAAGTTTGAGAGAGAGAGAGAAAGATGGTAATGTATGTATGTATGTATGTATATATATTCCTCAATGTACCTATAACAAGATAAAGCAGGCGGCACGATATATATACGTTCACACCTGACTCGGGCGTCACCTGGCGGGTTCTGCTGCACCTGTATACGTTACCTGTACTTGTATCGACTACTTCTGGCTAGATTTCCTGGTTTCTAAATGCGTACGTTTGTTTGTGGCGAGTATAGATTATTTATTATTATTATTATCATCATTATTGTTATTATCCAAATCATCTCTATTGTATAACTATGGTATCTTCCTACCACGGTTTAATAACCTGACAGTTTGTCTTATCCAGCTACACTGACTATCCAAGTACACTGACAGATACTCTTACACAGGTACACTGAGTCACCCTTATCTAGGTACAATGGTAGTTCATCTTACCCAGGTACACTGTCTTATACAGGTTCAGTGACACACATATACAGGTGAGCTTGTCCCCTCCCCCCTCCCCCACCTTTACTGACGTGACTGACAGAGCGGCTGTAGTGTTACCAACGTCAGTATAGAACACACTGTACACTTAAATACAACCCAACCACGGCCTAGATCTGTACCTCACTTTATAAATACCTTAAAGATGAATCTACTTTACATAAACTTTATCTTATTACAGTCAAAATATCAATAAACTTTTGAATTACAGTTAAGCGTCAACACATTATATAGGCTAAACGAATTAAAAAAATTAACCTCTTAGTAAGTCTTCCTGTTCCTGGTGACATACAGGATCTCTTCAGACATATACAACCCTTCAGTACTTCGAATAGTCAGGTAGGCTAGGTACGTCAGGGAGGGAGCGAGAGAAGGGGGGAGGGAGATAGGAAAGGAGGTAAGGGAGAAAAGGAGAGTAAGGTTGGAAGGGAGAGAGAGAGAGGAAGGAAGGAAGGAAGGTACCGGAGATGGAAAGAGGGACGGAGGGAGGAACAGAATATCAACAAAGAGTCAGCTGTGTTGAGTGAAACGTAAAAGTAAACACAACAATCAGGTGGAAAGACAGAGGTGTATCTTAAAACACACTGGTCCTTTCACCTGCTAACATCACACCTCTTAATTAGTGATCACAGGTATAAAAGGTGTACGGAGAGGCCAAGAGTTTCAGCGCTGGTATGTTACTGTTTTTAATGTTTGTGTGTGTGTGTGTGTGTGTGTGTG